GCAGGATTGCTGATCTGTCAAGATAACACTGATAACATCTGATAGCCGGGCTTGACTGAAATAATGAGGTTTGCTTCAGAGCAAGAGATGTTCACCCTTTGTTAAAGAGACTTTAACATAACTAATATTGTTCTGTGTTTGTCCAAGTACTGACCCCATGGCCTTTGGCCTTAGTGTTATTAAATGGCCTACTATTAAGATTCCCATGAATGTTACATTACCATAGTCATGCATATTCATTACTGGCAAACTTTATGTAACCTTTTCAGAGTTTTCAGACTTTCTTGACTCCCAAACTGTCAAACTATTCTCTCGTCCTGAGTTTTCTTTGACACCTTTGTGGCTTATTGCACTATGTTGCCTTAGTTTATCCTGCATTGCCTCATTCTTTGTCTGAATATACTGTGGGCTCATTCAGCATTGCCAAATCATGTTGTTTTGTGTATTGTTTAAGTGATGTTTTCATGTTTCTACCCTTGGTTTATTATTCACTATGGATTTGTGCAAAACCATCAACCACTGTTTGCCAAAATATGCAGAACTCCAGTCAATTTAACTACATTCTTCCTCCTCTTCTTTTCCACTCAGGGACTGTACCGTGAGGCTCACAGAGATATCACAATGAGTCGAGCTATTCTGCAGAAATGTTTCAATTTCTCCCCTAATTTCCTATGGCTTTTACTTTAAATAGAACATTATCAAACTGCAGCATGTGCAATTTCAGCTTATCGCTGCTATTAAAGAAACAGACTGTTACAGTACTTTTTACTTGTATAACATTATCAAATTCCACCATGTTACCAACATCTTTGCCAAATTGTGTCTAGCTCTAGTTGGACAGAGAGAAAATATTAAACTATATTCTAAGGTCTGCATATGTTGAATGTCCATGTTTCTGCCAATTGGATATTTGAAATGTAGGTCATGTGAGAGTTAAACATTTATTTCTTTACTTAAGGTTACTGCAGAACATTAAAGAAATACATCTGCATGGAAAAAATGATTTCAGTTTTCAAATATGTAGTGTTACCCTACACCAGGAATCTTTTGAGGGCACTGACTCAAACTATTTGCATCCATAACTAATGCCGCTGTCTACTCCATTCAAGTGTCTAAACTGAGCCCTTTGATTTCTCTCTTACCCAGAGTCGAGACAGAATCTCCAAACATGGACAGAGAAAACATGAGATCAGGGATTATAAATGACTATAGAGCAGGCTGTCCTACACCCTCATTTAACACACTCAAAATATCAAGCCTATGTGTTCAGTTGAGTGAACTGTCAGGGGAGATGATGAGAGTGGCAGAATTTTTATTACCGTCATTAGTGCCTGGGTTGAAGTATAGGTGGAGCGGCTCACTGAAGGTACAGCCACTGCTCAAGTATACCCTGCTCCTGATCCTCAAACACCCACACATTTGTTTTCAGACAGATAAAGACATCAGTAAGAGACTGGCACTCAAGTCCATTCCTTAAAGGTCCAGTGTGTAACATTTAGAAGGATCTATTGGCAAAAATGGAATATAATATTCAGAGGTATGTTTTCATTAGTGTATAATCACCTAAATATAGGAATTGTCGTGTTTTTGTTACCTTAAAATGATCATTTCTATCAACAGACGCCACCGGTCCCCTTCCATGGAGTCTACCATGTTGATCCGTCATGTTTCTACAGTAGCCCAGAAATCACAAACCAAACACTGACTGTAGATAGGGCCTTTTGTGAGTTTCACGGCTACTGTAGTTTCTCCTACACACTTCACAGCCAGCTCTGATTCCTAGGTTGTCATATACAAACGCAAGGGTTGTTTAGTTGTAATCAAGTGTGAACCTAGCATGACGTCACCCATTGGTTTGTGGAGTACCGTCTTGAAGCCTCGAGTTCAGCATTTTGGCCCCCACCATGACAGTAAAACGGAGCCAGCATGAGCTAGCGCGAGCCAGCGGAACGTGTCGTACTGCGAGTTACTCCGCGCTCATTGGCTGCACAGTTCGCCTGAACCAAGAGTGTAGGAGAAATTACAGTGGCTCCAAAATTCGTGAACACAAATGTAGAAACATGGTAGTTCAACATGGTGCAACTGTGTCCGTCTGCTGTTTGGTGTACATTTGGAGCTTTTTTATTTAAAACAGCACCAACTGCCCCAACGCATTTCGGACTTCTTCAGTCGTGTTAATGCCCCTGATACATCTGGCAGTCAGCATTTATAGACTTTAGTTAAATATCAAGTCTTCTTTTAATGTCTACACTGACTTCAGCCTCCCTGCAAGTCTTCACCATCACTGATTCAGAGCAGTTTGAACTGCTAGCTTAGTTAAGCAAAGTTTCAGTATGCGGCAGAGACAAAAGAGGAGAGACAGAAGAGGGGATATTAGAGTTGTATGGCAGGTATAACACCATACTCTCCACTCCACCATCAGTTGATTTCTGTATTTATATGTCTGGGGGGTTGAATGTGACAATATATTTTACAGATTTTTGGGCGTCTGGAGGGGGTTATTTTAGGGGAGGGGGTTTTCTACTGATCTTAATACATACAATAAAAACAATAAAGACTGTCTAAAAACGACTTTAATTTATCTTTAAAAAAACCCCACATGGATTCTGTATTGTGCTGGAGTTTTTTCTTCTAAGATAAATACAGAGTCTGGCATTTATCCGTGTTGCATTATTAAAAATGAGCCTGTCATTAGGAGAACCTGCAGTTCTAGATTGTGTGTATAGAATTCAACCTAATAATTAGTGTCCGTCTGTGTCTGTGCAAATACACTGATGACAAAGTAGATGAAATTCTGTGAGCAATTTCTGTGGTATGATTCGATAAACAGTCATTCCATAATGACCTTGCTTCTATGATGCCGTGGGGAAACCATAATTCAAAGCAGAATTCAGGCAATTTCCCCAAGATGTCGCAGAGACAGGCCGACAGAGACAACAAAGAAGTCCATGAATTACGCTGACATGCAGTGTCTTGTCTGCCTTTTAGATACCCAGTTTGTAAACCCTGTTTAACATTTAAAAATCAAAAAGCAAAGTGGTGTTTAAGGTTCTTGAATCCAATCAATAAATTGATCGGTGTTCTCTCTGTAATGGCTGTACATATTAAGATGCAAAAGAGACCGGATCCAAACTCTTTCTATCCTTGCAACCCCAAGGGCCTGTCTCTGCCATTTGATGTTCTATCTGGGACTGAAGCCCCCTTAAAGCAGCTCTACTGGCTACGGACTTAATTGATTTGGAAAGTCTCCAACTCTTCAGTGGCCAGGATTACATCCTAATGTTCCATGTCTGCATTAAAGATTTAAGGGAGCCTTAAAAAGACTTGGAGCAAAGCAAGCATCCGATGCATACATAAAAACACACCAACTACATTCTTAAAATTCCACACGTTAAGACAGATCACGCTACACCTGAAAAAGTTACAGCAGTCATTCATAATTTAAGTCATTCATCTGATAATTATCTCCACGGCTGCCAAAACAGGTACAGAAGTGAGATTCCTTCAGGCACTGCCTGAAACTACAGTGCTCTAGGAATTCACAGGACACACACACCTGCTTCTCCTCCTCTGCTATAAGTGTAAAGGAGGAAACACACGTCCACTGTAATTTGTGTTCTCACTGATGGGAAAATAATGTTTGCTTCAGAATAATAATGGAAATCAACAGCACACATAAGATGAGTTTACACAGAAAAATGAACTTTTTGCTTAAGATCATATTGCAAATTTATGTTGCAATGGACAGATTATGGTGAGTGGCGCAGTGTAAACATATACACAAACATATACAAAACCACCATTCTAAAACAAATCAACATATTTGTACAAAACTAACCTCCTTTCTCTTATGTCCAGACTTTGGATATGGAGCCTTGCAGTAGTTCAGACAGGCAGACAAGTTCTTTTATAGTCACATGGTCCAGACACCGTTTAATCATGTATGTGCACGACCTATCCCTCTCCGCAGGGTGCAGGGATGACGTTTTTTTGTAGGCCAACCTGCAAGTTTGCATAGCCCTGGTCGCTCTGATTTAAAAAGCTAGTGTGATTTTTCGATTGGATTTTGGATTACTGGACAAAATAAGCACTGCTGTGAACAAAGATTTATAATTTAACATTTTGTTCAGCAAGATGGTCTCCACAGATGAACACCTCTTTTATGATTCTTAAAGTGCAAATGCAGTCGCCAGAAGTAGAAAGCTACTTTTAGGCTAATTACACCACGGTTGCATAACCTCACCAACCTCTAAACTTCCAACTTGTAATTACATCTTGTAATTAAAATCTAGAAGTTTCAAAGTTTGAGTTAGCATACTTTACAAGAGTATAAACACACAAGGCTGTAAAGGCGGACAAGTGAGTAGAAACGTCTCTGTGTTCGGTGTGACGTTTAATGTCATGACAACTTTTGTAGTCTCATTAGCAACCGCCAGGTTTGCTAATGGCCTTTTAATACTACATTTATTATATTAAAGGTTTATGAAAGTCAGAATAAAAAGCAATTCAAAAACAACAACTATATCCAGTAATACAGTTTAAAGCTGCATTAACTGATTACACAACACAAAATGTACACATTAGCGTTCATTTGCAGTTGTGTTTGTCCAATATTTCCTTTTATTTTTTCTCAGTTTGGCCTCCACCATGAGAGCGGTGAGACTGAACCAATACAATGAGCTGAACGACTGCAGAGCAGAGGGGAACTGCAGAGTTTTCATATTTAATATAAAAATATGGATTAGTGTAGCTTCAAACTAAAGTGCAGGGTTCTGCTTTTTTCCTACTGTCTTTTGGTTTGGGGTGAAAATCATCTTGAAAAAGAAACTCTGCTTAAAGCAGCATTAATGTTTTCTATATTAAGACTGAGTTGGGAAAAAGGCCCTTGGGCTTGAATACATTTGAGTGGAATGTTGAGAAATGAATGTAAATCTATTTTAGACTTCTAAAGCTTCTTGCACATTAAAGCCACGCGGGTATTAAAGTCATCATGTGCTCACCTGCAGCATAGCGGCAGCCAGGTAGACGGACATAAAGATGGGTGTCAGGGTGGTGTGTCCACTCTTCATCAGGTGGATGGTGTAGAGGAAGATCAGGTGACCAGGGATCACCAAAAGGAGGAGCACCTGAGCAGAGCGATGATTGGCTCCTGAGAAAATACATAAAGGATGGAGAGAAGGAAGGTTAAAGGTGAAAGGAAAGGGAGGGAGAAAATAAATTGTGCATGTACCCAATCATGTATTATAAAATACATGATTGAATAGTTTGGTGACAAATTGGGCTGTTCGAAGCAGCCCACCTACTGTCCCCTGGATTCAGAGTCCTGCTGGTTTTCATTCTAGACTTCTAACAAGGAATTAATTTACACCTGGGACAGCAGGAGATGGCAATTAACTGCCTGGTAGGACAGAAAACGGGCAGCACTGCAGCTCACCAGGAACAGAGCTGAAAACCACTGTTTCAAACTGTGAATTTAAAGCCTCATTATAATCCTGACAGCATTTCCATTGACTGTGATATCCAAACCTACATTAAACATGTGTACTTGTGTGAAAGCCATTTAAAATATGTCAGGTTGAGGGCTTCTCATCAGCAACCAGCATAGTATTAATAACAGCCAAAAATAATGATTATAAGTGCTTTACACCTATCACCTATCATATTGGAGCTGGACAGCAATGCCTATTCAATATGTGGTTTTATAAAATTGTCAGTACTGACCTGTGCCAAAGAATGTGCGGCAGGGGTAGTAGCAGCCCTTGGCCTCGTCAGGAACCTCCCCAGGGGCACAGTGGAAGTGCAGGTGAGTAGAGATCCTGCTGGACTGAATAGCCACTAGGTTGCCCCCGATTCCTAGACAAGATAGAAGAGTTCCTGGTTCATGATTGGAGGAGAGCATTCGGTGTTGTGTGAAGTGACAAAGAGAGATAGGCGGGTAAAAAGTGGCTATTTATGACTTTTTCAGTAAGAATTGTGTAAGGCTACTGACCGATTCTGCAATTCTGAGGCCAAAAACAATAATGATATTTAAGTTAGTTAAAAAAACCAAAAAAAAAAACATATGTATAAAAAAAAGTCAAAAATAAAATAATCAAAAGCTTTGCAGATTTTCTGGATATTTGGTAAAAATTTTAGCTACTTTTGGATGGACGGGAACATGGCAAAAATGTCTGTGAGATAATTAAGCATTTCTTTAATTTGTTTAATATTTACTTTTCTATCTTATTTTACTATACTATTTCAGCACTGAAAACTTGAAAATGCAAGAAGTGAATATTGTGTGAACAATCACAGTTTTTGTGGTCTCCAGAGTGGCTGCAGCCCCAACGTGTAGATACATTTCTGAGAAGGGAACATGAGATGAGGTTCTGACTGAGGCTTTTTCAACTGTTACTGGAGCACCGAAAGGGGTGGGGCTTACGAAGGGTAAATTACCTGACAGAAAACAAAAAAAAACCTTAAATGTGCTAGAACAAATGTTTTTTCATTACTCTCCTCTCATCTCATCTTTGCTTGCAGCTCTATTTTCTTCATGTAAGATTTGAATTAAAATCAAGCAGATGAACAGTCGTGAGAATGTGGGACGCCATCTGCACTGCCAAAATACAGGACCACTTTACATTCACATGCTGCAGCTATCACACCTTCCCTTTAGCAAGGAACACACAAACTAACTTCCTGCGTCTTTCTTCCTTATAGCCACAGTCTGGTGACTAAGCCCTGCAGGGGAGCTCACATACATACAGATATCAACAACAAACTAGCTGACAGGTGGGCACAGAGCAGCCAGAAGAGAAGAAAAAAGCTTTCTGTATTGTGTCTTTATATCTGTAAAAAAAAAAAAAACTGTTCAGAGTAGAACGGTTTTTGATTCACAACCAAAAATCATTCAAGTGTTTGCATTGCAGCAGGTAAACACATATTCCATATGTAGCTGGCTTTCAGTCACTGAAGTGGTTGTGTACTGCAAACCATACAAAAAGAAGAGTGTGTCCCCCCCAACCAGGCTGTTATTGTGGTGAGGATATTAAATTAGACACTGCCACCACCTCAGGGTGATGTCCACTTAATTCAATCTATTGTGGCTCTTTGTCTGCCTGGTGACATTTTATTGGAGCATTACCAGCGCTCCCACTGGGCCTGTAAACAGACATAACTTCACAATGAGCATTCACACACGCTCTTCCCCGTCTGTCCTCGTCTTCTCACTTCACACTCCTGTCCTCGCAATCTGAATATGCCACCGATCAAATGGGAACTTCTAAAGGAATAGTTCCATACACTGCCTGTGTTAAAAGAATGGAGCTGGTGTAAGGAAGTAGTTCACCTAAAAATACACAACGGTAATTCACCTGGTTGTTGTTTTTTACATGTCTCTTTAAGTATATGTTAAACAAGATAGAACATGTTAATTGGTGGGCTTTAGAGGTGTTAATAGGTTTTTTTTTCCCCTTTGGACCGAGCAATAATAGCTTTTTTCCCCTCCCTCAATCTTAATGCTAAGCTAGGTTCTAGCTATGCACTTAAAACTGCAATAGGGAACCATTTTTGGTTGTTGTTTATCCTCCGCTAGCCTCTCCCCCAAACCACCAAAGGAGTCGGTTACCCTAAGAGCCATAGGGACACCCTTTCTGCAATGACCTTATTGTCCCCGGTATTTCTAAACCCAGCAAATCGAGGATGTGCACTAGTCTAGTTTTTGCCAACCACTTGAATTACAATACGCTGAAAGGGTTTTATGCCTACCCTAGCTCTAACATACGACATGAAGGCGATATCATTCTTCTCATCTCACCCTCAGAAAGACAGCAAATAAGCTATTTCCCTAAATTGTGGAACTATTCCCTTAAAAACCAACAACACACCTTCAGTGAATCACATTCTATTTAGGTCCTGCAGAGAAATAATTATTTACAGTTTTAAGAAATTATGTTGTATTTATTCTTTGTGTTTGACATAAATTCCACTAAGCGATAAAGATCTACACGCCACAGTCTCTCCAACAATCACCAACGCTAGTTTGGTCAAGATAAACCCTTAATTTACTGAGTTAGATGTGGTAATAGTCATACAAAGGCCTACAATGGCCACAACATAAGCTATGCATCCGTCAAAGTACATCCACTAAATGTGATTTTGCCAAGGAAAGGATCACTACAGAGACAGACCTTTTGTTAAACCAGAAACAGCTGTAATATTGCTGTCACTACCATACTCCATAGACAAAAACAGTCATTTTACCTTGCATATACATACATCATGACCTTATTCAAAGTGCACACCAAAACCGTTTTTTTGTCCATGTTTTCACTGCTCCAACAATCACCAACTCTGGTTTGGTTGAAATAAATCCTTAAGTCACAGACGTAGATCAGAAATGCACACACCACCATGACTCTACACAGTATGTTTACATAGCAAATAGTTGTTTGCTGCTATATTAATGTTCTAAATCTCATATAAATAACCTTGATCTCATTTTTTTGGGGTTGTTTTTCTACCATTGGATAATTTTTGTTGGTAGAAAAAAAAAAAGCTGTTTTTCCAAGCTGTGACTTACTCCTGTTGATACTGTGCATTACAATTTTGGGACATAAATATTAATAACACACAATAGCATCTTTTGTTTGGAATTTGGGATTTCAAATATATTATATGCTATATTCTCATATTCAAAAATTGGAATAATTGTGCACTTGGATTGTGCACTGATTCTGACTGTATGGCTTTCTGTCCTTGAGGGTGTTTAGAATGGTTGGGGTGCAAGAGGGTGGAGGCTGTTCTCACAACCTCAGCAGGGGGCAGAGGTAGAGTTAAGCAGGTTTGGGGGCGATCTGGCTTATTCAGGTCACTGACTCTGACAGGAGGAATGGGGATGAGGAGGATGTGGAGGTCTGGGCTGCAGTGAGGCTACGTGGGGAACTGCAGGGGGTCTGTGTGCTTCTCTCAGCTGGGCCGCTCTGCCCGGAGGGGGGAGACACAGGAACTGTCTGCCAAGCTCGCCGGTCTCATATCTGCTCGTCTCCTCCAAGTTAAATCTAATTTTGTTTATTTGACTGGCTCTAGCATCAGGATGCGGCATTGAAAACAGGAACAGATAAAACATAATAAAAGGTGGAAAGAAGAAGGGGAAAATGACTTACTGGTGGAAGTGAGATGTAAAGCACACCTTATCTTAAAACAAACAACAGAAGGAAAGAAAAAAGGCAAATATGCCAAGATGACAAGCAAAGATTAAAGACTTGGCTGTATTGGAGTGCTGTCTGGTGGAAAACTGCATAACAGGATACATAACATAATATGATATCTGCAGGATCAGAAAACCAGATCAAAGCTGTTTTAAGAGCTTTCTAATGACCTGAAACTGAATTTAAAATGAAGGCCCATTCTTAATGTAATATATTATAGCTAATGAAATGGGTACAACAGGAACATCAGGAAAGGAGCTGGCACACACTTCCTTAATACCTGGATTAAACATACCTGAAAAGCTTTTAAGTAATTTGAATATTAATATAATTTAAGCAGCCACAGATACCTCCTACTGCAGGAGAAACTGCATAAAATAGCCCTAATGTATTCAAATGAAATAATGGAGGTCAGTGTGGTAAAAATGAGGCTTTCTCCCTCTATCTGTCATTTCACCTGTCTTTTCTTATCACGCTCTACACATCTCCTTCCCCACTCCGTTCTAATCAAACATCCACACGCCATCCTTTCACAGTTTCTCTTCGGTCTGCCCTTTGTTCAACTGTATTTTTTATTAGAACAGGATCCGTGGTGCATTTTAATCAGCCCAAAGACACGACTACACCGCCTCGCCGTTTCCTCACCCATGAATAAAACGCTATAAATCAGAGACACTTAAAAAGTTTGCAGAGCCTACACCGCGCGCGCAGAATAAAAACACACTCGCCCTCGCCAACAGACACACGCTTGATTCCCCAGCTGTTTGTGCCCGGGATGCGTCTCGACGGAAAACCAATTAGAGTCAGAATCGTACTCCATCTCGTTAAATGTCTCTCATTAATGCCATTTAAATTAAAAGCTTATCTCTTGTTGTGGAGGTGCCAGGCCCCCGGCAACCATGGTGAAGCAGTGGGAGACAGAAGCAAGAGGAAATGGAAGAGGACCAGTTTTGTGAAGTGGAGACAGACGGACTGCAGCTGACAGCCTAAAACCAGTCTCATTAGGTAACTTATTTATGCTGATGAACATTGGGAGTCTATAGTTAGTAATCTTCATTATTCCAGGGACTGTTGACTGAGCACACGCGCCTCTTCTGTTTTCACATTCACATACATTCACACCTGGGAGCAGCGCAGCACAAGACAAATAGACTCTGTGGAGTGTCATCCATCTTGTGTATAAACACTTTGTCTATATCTAAGCACGGAGGGTCAAAGACTGCATTAATTGCAAAACTGAGAGAGATAAATGAGACAAATAACAGTTTCTTTGTACCCAAACTTCTAAGTTAAACAGCTTGTTGCTTTACGCTGTGTAAAATACAACTGTCTTGTGTCCGTGCTGCCAATTAACACAGGATCTCATTAAGAAACCTTTCAACTAATCACTGTTTTACATGTTTACACAAATAGTTCCAGAAACAGATTGAAGTCAACATATATGCATTTCTCACCCATGTTCCTGTGCACTTCCTTAACCCAAAAACTACACAGTTATGCCAGGCACATTGGTAATAGTAAATACTTTAGTTTTCTTTCTTGGAAATCATGTCCTAATTACCCATAAATCTCAGCAGCAATGGGAAAGCAGAAGACATCAGTGTATTCAGAACAGTTAGAAGCAGGAACAAAGCACCATTTTTTGATAATAAATGTAACCAGATTTTAAAATCCATCACCAGAGGACAATTTCTCCACTGACAATACAGACCATTAGAGCAGAGTGCAATGCCGCCATTACACATTATGTGGTTTGAGCAAGTGGCGAAAGTCATTCTAGATAAATGCAGGATGTCACCAACTGTAGTTCTTATTACAAGTAGGTGTAGAGAAGGGTCAGCGGGTTGTGGAAAAGTGGCAATGCAATGAACATCAAACTGTATAATATGATAAAATGGTGTAGCAGTATCCAAAGATGCATTCTATCATATGGGTGTCTACAGGGTAGCTGCTGAGGGAAGGGAGAGTGCTGCTATTCCAGTGCTGTTCATTATCCTCCTCCACACTTTAACAGCTGGGCTAGAGATCTGCTGGGGATCCAACAGATCAAGAAACAGAAGTGGAGGCAGGTACCACTTTGAGTGTCAAGACCTGTGTTTCCTAACACATCATTTAACCTCCATTTAACCAGGTCTTTATATAGATCAAATGTATTAGTCTGATGTCTTCTGACCATCCACATAAAAAAAACACAGCCATGCAAAGCTGGACTAGAAAAGTAGGCTCTGAATTTCCATAATAATATAATGGTGATGTTTACCAGGTATTTGGATTTGGTCATAAATCTAAATACTGGACAAATGAAAAATGACACCTGACAATGGGGCTAGAGCAGGATAAGCAACCTGCCCCTCTTCAGCCCCTCTCCAGTGGCTCCCATTCATTTTCATTAAAGTAATTCTAACATTCTCCAACTGTAAAACTGCTCCGCTATTATACACCAAATTAAAAACATTAACATTTTAATGACTAAAATTGGCAAAATGTTAAAATGCAATAAAAGAAAAGTAAAAAGTAAAAGAGTAAAAGAGAAAATGTTATAGTACGTCACCACCATCACTACAGCCTTAATGTGGTATGCTTGATTTGCAGTGAGAATTAGCAGTATAAGGCTCAAATATGTCTTGCGGCTTAAGACAGATTTTTTTGGCTCTTTTGATAGTAAAAGTTGCTGACCCCTGGGCTAGAAGAAAGGTCAGGACATCAGAGTTTTTACAACTTATCCTGAGGAAGACATAGATGTCTGAACCAAATTTCACTTCAGTCCATCCAATAGTTGTTGAGATATTTCAATAAAAACACACAGTGGAAGGAAAAGTCAGGGGGGCCACTTAAAGCATTAGGATTCTTTGTCTGGGGACCATGAATGTTTGTAACAAGGTTCATTGCAATCTATCCAACATTTGTTGAGATATTTCAGTCTGGACCAATATTGCCATCTCTAGAACCATAGCCATACTTGCTGCAAGCATGGCATATTAGAACATACATATCAGAACATATTGTTTTTGGCTATGGCACATTCATGTACACAGGTAAGCAGGGACCAGGAATTTCACATCACTAATTCTTCACCAACGTTAGGGTGGTGTAACTGGTGGGGGGTGCATGTGGGCCACTGAACACAGCACCACTGCTTCTTGTGAGCTGTGTCCTGCACTTTAACAGAGGATAAATAGAGGATGTGGGATTAGAGCAACGTAATTGCACAACCTTTGAATTTTCTTTACATATGTATAACTCTTTTACATAGAGTATGTATAACTCATATGTATAATCCCCCAGGATTTGAGAAGCTGTTATATTAAAACCTGTGTCTTTGACCAGATTCCCTTTGTCTGTTGTGCCCCCGGGGGGGCAAGCAATTGCAAATCAAACAGCGACACATTGAAGCCATTCAGAGAGAAGGAAGAAGTGCCAATGGTGTGACTCACCGTTGATAACCGGGGTGTACACTACGATGCCAGCCAGATTTGGGTCAGACACTGTTTTGTCCAGGATGAGCCCTCCGATGCTGTAGAACACAACATAATAAGATCATTAACTGGTGTTAATGTGTGTGTGTGTGTGTGTGTGTGTGTGTGTGTGTGTGTGTGTGTGTGTGTGTGTGTGAGAAAGATGGAGAGAGAGAGACAAAAAGGGGCATGGAAAGATAACGAAGCATTGTCTTCATCTAAATGATGTCCACAGTGAATTTGTGTGCTGCTCTATAAATACAACTAAAAATGCTTCATCAGCTGCACTCAATGGTGGAGAGAGAGAGAGAGAGAGAGAGAGAGAGAGAGAGAGAGAGAGAGAGAGAGAGAAGAAAGAAAGAAAGAAAGAAAGAAAGAAAGAAAGAAAGAAAGAAAGAAAGAGAGAGAGAGAGAGAGAGAGAGAGAACCGTTTAAAGTTTATGTTGTCCAGAGCCAATATTTGTTTTTTCTTACTCCATTTATAAAAGCCTGAGAAATGTGCTATCACATGCATTGTGGGTTGAGGGACGAGCACAAGGAAGAGTGAGTGAGAGCAAGAGAGACAATCAATCCCTTCCTACTGGCTGTATTAGTAAGGCTGCCAGGCTCAAGGGGACCCGAGGGTGTATGTGCTTGGGTGCTGCAATTTGTTTAGGGGATGAGTCATCAGGCGAACCAGACAACTGGGAGTCGCAGACGCAGAATAGCTGTTCTTTCCCCTTTGAAGACTAAACACACACATACACACAGTTACATACACAAACACACACACCTGCTGATGACCATGGCAGTGATGACTGGCTCCCATCCGGAGTAGAGCAGGGTGCGGCTGGCTGGGTGCTTGGAGGAGATGACGATCCACAGAGGAGTCAAACACATGAAGAAGGCGCAAACCACTGACGACACATACGGGTAGGAATCTAGGGGAGAGGAAGAGATGCATTTATTTTTCCTCTTCGGGTGGCGGTTAGGGTTAGGGTTAGCATGCAATAGGGGAATGGTCGGGGAACCAACTGGGTACTGTTTGAAATGTTTTGCTGCCAGTGCCAATGTGATACCTGACTTTCAGTACCAATACAAAATGATTTATACATAAGCCTTTTCCTCCACTTTTTTACAATCCATTAGAGTTTAAAGTTGACAAAATACAAACACTGCTGACCCAGCTTAATTATGCATAACTTCAAGCCCTAATATAATTTTAATTGGTTTTATGCACCAGCCTGTAAACATGTTTATTTCTGTTGTGCAGTTGGGCATTATAACAAGTGGGCATATCGGGATTGACTCGCTTTTGAAGCCAACCTCAAGTGGCCGTTCGAGGAACTGCAGTTTTTGGCACTGCATTGGCTTTATTTTATATCCATGGAGGTTCCTGCTTGGCCCTTTCTAAGATGTAGTGAGAAGGTTCATTCATGAAACATGATGTCATTCATAGGAAAGTGGTCAGCCCCACTCCTCCTCTTAGCCGAAGAGCTCTCTCCATTCCTCGGTAAAAGTTGCTCTCTGCAGCTTTGTAAATGGAGGAAATTCTTAACTAGGAACTTTCAGCACCATTTAAAAGGACTAATTTGGCATATTGACATGCTAAGACAGAACATAAAGCACAGCTGAGGTTGTTGGGAATGTCATTAGTTTTGCTGGTATTTGGTCATAAACCAAAGTATCTGGCAGTGTAAAATGTGATCTGATGATGGCACTATGTGTCTGGGGATCAGCAAACTCATTAGGATACCTTGTTTAGGAACCATGAATGTCTGTACAAATATTTAACCTGAGGTACACCAACAGAAGGAAAGGAAACAAGCTTTGCACTCCCAGAAACATTTGCTTCATTAACATTCACAATAGATGCCTCAAATTCACCATTTCTTACAGACTCCCGCGCAGCTTTCCCTAAGATTATGATGGATTCCACTGAGGTTAAAGAAAAGTAGTTAGGACAGGAAAAAGGATATCACATTTAGCCATTTAGCCAGCTTGAGTGTCCAATCCACATGAGCTGCATATGTTTTAAATGTCAGGGTAAAGTGGAGCAGCAAGAGGAAACACACACCAACACAGGAAGGTTTCTCTCACTTTCTCTCTACAACTATACCTCTTTGTTCAAACTACAATATAGCACAACACAGCTATTTTGAAAGAGTAATTAGGGTAAAGCACCTGCTTAGAGCCACCACCAGATGTTTCCAGCAGGATTCTGTTCCCAGCACTAAATAACTGTCATTAGGAAACAGTCCCAGATTTATTATCTCCCTGGTCTCATAGCTGGAGAACAGAAAGGGCCCACTGTTCAGTTCAGGGTATAATGGGTTCTAGCAGACCTTCAGTCTTTAAATATAAAGCTGAGACAGATATACTGAGGCACACATTTGAGAGGGCAGCCTTGTCCTACATCAACCCAGCTCCCTACCAAGTTCCAGACATTCACAGAGAATCTGACACCGAGTTAACATGCACAGAGTAAGCTGGCTATCAGCTGGGCTCCAATTAAGGTCCTCTACAGGTTAAACTGTTTACATGAACCTCTGACACCTTGCCATTGAGTATCCCTGTTGCTGTGAATAAACCAATGAACAATTGATATTCCCGTCCATCTCTGGTGGAATACATTTTGCTAAAACGCTCTGCCAGGAAAGAGAACGATGCGGCTGCCAGCTATCTCCTTTAGCTGAGAAATGGCAAGATGCTTCTAATGCACGTGAAAGAAATGATGATCCCAACAGTGATGATAAGTACTGCTAGCTTCCATGCTTTATGAAGACAGAAGTGCATCCAAAACCCAGCACGAGTTTGCAGAAACTACAAGTGAGAGGAGTAAGATGCTTCACTCCAAATGAATCAATCAGGTTGATTACTGTGCATCTAAAGCAGGATTACTCAAACTAAGAACCTGTCGAGGTTATTGGATGTGTTGACAAGGTTACTGGATTGGGCAGGGACAGAAAATGACATTACACAAAAGAACTTGAATGACATTCTTCTGGGATGCAGGAGTAACAAATATTGCTTGTATGCATTATCCATCAGGCATGTGACAGAAGGACAAAAAAGCAGGAAAATATAGTTTACTGCAGCACATCAACCTTTTTTAATGTCCCGCCTTATCCGGGCTGTGATTGGTTAGTTCACAAAGAGTGAAATTGACGAGAGTCAATTGACTTTATGAAAAGTTGAACATTATTGTCTTCTGCCCTACGGCTTCAGCTGGAAACCCCTGACTAACAGTTGAACTGGGCAGACGACGCATCACTCTCACTTTTGTTTTTGCTCAAGTGGCCCACAGAGCGACTACCTGTGCTCACGATGGCCAATGTGACTACGGGGGCGGGTATCTGTGCAATTTAAACATTTAATAAGCTTTCTGTTGCGCTTAGTGGACAGTCACACATGTCCGCCATGTTGAACCGCCATGCCAAACCAAACAATGTCACTAGATAGGGGCCTTTTGCCTTTTCCTCAGCCACCGTAGTTTTTCCTGCATGCTTTGAAAGGTGAGTTGGTCGGTTGGCAATCTGCAATCTCACCACTATATTCCATTAAGTCCTGCACACTGGTCCTTTAACATCGGCAGGTTTAGCTCAAGCTGAATGCAAACAAGCATCCTCGTGGATACTTGGAAAGGAAAAAAAAATCTTCACACACTATAGCCTATAGATTTTTAACAGATCTGCATTCACGTGGGTCACATTTTCCGGTCCCAATTCTGGATTAATCGGGAAAAAAATCACATACCTAATCCATTTCACACAGTTATTTCAGGAATCCAGGTTTCTGGAAGTCCTATTATATTTTTTACATAGACAATGTTAGATGTCAGAGTCTGGAGCGTGTTGAAGGACATAAAACCCTACTGGTTGAATCATCACTATAAAAGATAAACGACTGATTTAAAAAATATCTGGTTCTTTGATAAAACGTCCGAGGCATAAGTCTGTGTCAACAGAGAAAATTTCAATCACTAAGCTTACTACAGCTGATATGTCAGTCTTGTGTTTAAAGCTTGTATTGCTGTACCCGAGTGGCCAGAAAACTCAATTCATGCATGTTTATTGTGTGTGCCACTAATGGCAAGTGGATAAAGATTACACAAAACACGGTTTTGAATGAATTCAGCAACTATGGCGAAATGTTTTTTTTGTTGTTGTTTTTTCAATTGCAATACTCTGATTTGTGCCTCTGGTTGCCTTTTTCTCCACAGCAATGGTGGCTGAGGTTCATGGGTACTTTAGTGCTTGGAGCCACCTGCCATGTCATGCTGATGACAAAAACATGTTTTCTCAGAACCACACTATTAAAACTGATGGGCATAAAATACATCTGTAACATCATGAAATTATCCTGGCCTTTCTATGTTGAAGAACATTGAGGATATAATTAAAAAAGAAACTAATGGAAATTTCCAGTGAGAAAGGGTACCAGAAACCACTCCCACTATGCAATTCTATGCGGTACTTTCGTTGAAAATTGCTACTTTTAAGTTGTCTGGTAAATATATTAGCACTCGTACTTTAATCCAGAAATTTAAACTCTTTTCTGGCACTTTCTTCAGGCACAGCCATCTGCCAGTAACATAATGATTTGATGGATAAAAAATACTGAAATATATTGTAGATTATGTCCTCACTCTTTGTTATTGTGGGCAATTTATCATAACAGTGTGACATGTCACTTATACTTGACCTCCATTCTGCAGGTGGAAACACAGCAGTCTCTCAGTATTTGAGTTTAGACCCAACCTGATTTATTTATCTAACTCAAAACCAGCCATTTCTTCCCATTTTGTCTATATCATGGGTTCAGTTCTCTTGCCCAGAGATGGCCCAATGTTGCCACATCCACACCAACACACATACAGTGCATGCTCACAAGCTCTGGCCCCATTTCTTGGTGTTTGTGCTCCATCTCATGCTCTCATTATCCCTGCTTTTATCTATTGTTGAGCCCTCTCACTAAAGCTCTCTGTAACAATCCTGCTTGTTGAAAGAGCTTTATAAATAAACCTGACTGGCCTCGACTTGGCTCCTCCAGCTACTATCTCTCGCCGGCGTCTCATCTCTACATTGGCTGGTTTGCCTCGAAAATTAGAGGCATTAGAGGCATTAAGCTCTTATCTGCATAGATAATCGTGTGATTTAAATTCTGTTTAGTTGAGATTAAACTGACCATTAGTTCCAATTTAGCAGGAGAGAGTCGGTGTGGCTGCCCTCAGGAACAACAGAGCCACTGTCCTGAGAGTGACACAGCCACACTGTACAGCTCTGCCATGGAAATCTGAAGTGTATTTAATACATTTAGCTTGCAGCGATAAATTGTTCTTTTCATAGGGGTGAATATCTATGTCATACAATTACAGCCGACAGGGTTAGTTAGTATGAGACGCTTTCCAAGAGGAAGCAGCTTCCAGTGTACGCTTTATTAAGTAATACAAGGTGGTGCAACACAGGTCTGGGTGTGACATGAATTAAACATGAGGAATGTGTGGTGGGAGGAAAAAGATGGCCTGTTCTGCAATTGGAGGGCGCCCCTGCTACAGGGTGAGGCAGGAGGGACCTCTATTGGCTGACTGAGGGAAGTGTCTCACCACAAAGCACCACAAGAGGCAAAAAATCTGAGGTTCACGACCATTTCTAACTGACTGAAGATGGACCAACTTAACTCCATTATAACTGTCAACCTGTTTGTGGTCAATTAAAATGTATCATAACTGTAAACTAGGACTAAATGATATATCATTTTAGCAATAACATTAAGATTGCAATAAACAATTATTTTCATTATTGATTATTTTGTCATTTTTCTTGATTAATCCATTAATTGTTTGGTCCAGAAAATATCAGAAAATGATGAAAAATGTTGATCACTGGTTCCCCAAAGAAACATCCTCACATGTCTTATGTTGACCACAACCCAAAGATATTCACTGTCAGTGAGGACTAGAGAAACCAGAAAATATTCATATTTGAGAAGCTGAAATCAGAGAATTTGGACACTTTCTGAAAAAATTACTGAAACTGATTATTCTGCAATTATTGTAATAGTTGACAACTGATCGATTAATTCACTAGCTCTAAATAACATCACAACATCACATGTATACATGAGTGATGTACAGAAAATTGAAATTAGACTAATTAAAAAGGTGTTACACTAAAAGGTCGCTTTCTTTCTTTTGGTTTAGCTGCGGTTCACGTTCATGCTGACTGTCTACAAACCAACCTAGAGCTGTATGCATTAGGCCATATGAACTGACACATGGGTAACTCATGGATTGGACAGTTTTGGCAACTGTCATCCTGCATCACCAGCTTTACCAGAACCCATCTGGGAGAAATCTAATTCTCTCTCGAAAAAAAAAAGAAAAGACATTGCTGCATGTATCTGGTGAAATTATGCAACTTTTAAAGAATTCAAAACACACAACACAAAAACATTTCCCCTACTCTCACATTTTCTTATCTCAGCCATAATAGTAAAACACTGTAAAAATGAACTGAAAGAATAGGGCCCCCTGTAGATTTGTGCCATAAAGCAATGTCTTTTTGTGTACACAGTAAATAGTCATATACAATTAAGTATGTTGATTGTGTACTCACTGTACAAAACAGTATGCTATAAAGATTAGTATTGTGTACAGTTAGAATGTAGTATGGAACTGGGACACAAGTCTGTTACTGTAGGAGTAATTGCTGTTCACCTACCCAGGCACTTGTAGAGGCCCTGACTTATCCAGGCCAGGATCGCCAAGGTTATGAGGTCACCAAAACTGGCGGCAATGGGTGTGGCTACGTTGTCTGGGTTGATGCCTGTCTTCTTCGAACCCACAATTACACCCACCATGATGATACCTGAACATGACACAAGCAGGGTGGAGCAGAACGGTCATCACATTACTTCCAGACATTATGATACACACAGTCTGTCAGCAAGAAATAAGTGTTTGTGCCCGTTACAGAGGCTGTTTGTGAGGAGGACAGAAGTGACCCACATTCTCCACAGCGACAGTATTAACAGTTTATTTTAGACCGTGGTACTCAGCTGTCTGTGTGTGTGTGTGTGTGTGTGTGTGTGTGTGTGTGTTTACCCTGCAACAGGGAGGCTATGAAGGCCGTGGCCACACTGCTGGAGCAGAGCAGCACAGCATGGCTCATCTGGAACTTCCCCTCCGGGATCCAACCGAGGACCACGGCTGCTACGGCAGCCAGGAAACCCACCACAGTGGCCTGAACCTGGAGGAGAGAAGCAGAGAGATTTACTATTGTGCTCTCTTATTGATTATACTGTAGAAAACAAGCACTATTATGTGTGTGAAAACAGCCAAACAGTGTTTAAAGGATTAGTAAAACAATTAGGTAATGTTCGCTATAAACAAGCTTGTGAAATATTGTAACTAACATCATGTGCAGGTAGATTTTTCTATTGCATTACATAACACTTCCTGCTGACCCATGTTATTGCATAACATATCAGACAAACAGTGCGTCAAAACACACGGATGCTGCGTGTGTTATGGTGTGTTTATCGGTGTGTGGGTAGATGATTAGCAGAGTCTGTACTCAGTCCTACAACACAGGCAGCGATCAATAGAACAGTCTGAGTTAACGCCCACATGGGTCCAACCAATTACAGGCAGCACTAATGTGGACCAAGAACATTAAATACATGAATATGACAGTATGTAGGTGAGGTTTTGTGCCTATATAAAATATAATTGCAGGATCGGTTCATTGTAATGAAAGGGCAATATTGGCAGTACGTGCAGCAGCTGTGTGTGTGTGTGTGTGTGTGTGTGTGTGTGTGTGTGTGTGTGTGTGTGTGTGTGTGTGTGTGTGATTACCTGCTTCAGTGCCAGGTTGCCTATGATTAGATTCCACTTCTCGATGGGAGAATCCATCTTGCCCACATTCACCTGTGTGAAAAGAAGAAAGAAAAAGCAAATGTAATATTCTATGACTTCCATGAATGCATAACTAGGACAGAGAGTCTGTAGCCTGTTTTCCCCCAATTTTAGAGGACCAAAACTAAGTGGACAAATTATTTTATTTGTCATTCATGATAGTAAATAAGGAGACTTTGAGTTTTGGACTGTTGGCTGGACAAATTAAGCACTTAGGCTCTGGGAAATTGTGATGAACATTGTTCACAATTTTCTGACATTTCATAGACTTAACAATGAAACATGAAAATAATCTGCAGATTAATCAAGAATGAAAATGATTGTTAGTGGCAGCCTTACTCCAGCTGTTTAGTGTTGCACTTCCATACAGTTAGGGGAGTAAAGAGACAGATTAAAGAGTGTGTGGTGGTCAATAAAAAGCAGCAGAGGTTGAGATACCCTTTCTTTCAGATCCTAGTATGAGTCAAGCTCCCAAAACACTGGATCCTACACTTCCAACAGTGCAGCTTGATAATGTTTTTCTTCAGACCCCTCCCTGCCTGGTAGACCCCCACATCTTTCAAACTCCACAGCCCCAGTATAAAAGGCAGACTAAGATTTGTCTCCAAGCTCAAGCAGAGACAGGCTGGGTAGAACTCCCTTTGACTTTTAAATCTACTTTGACATGTGAAATCAGTGGAATTGTAAATTAATTTGTCATATTTAATATTTGACGTCAGATCGTCTGAAGTCTACAACCCACTGAGACTTCCCTGGTGATGCTCTGTCAGTCCTGCAGTTCTTGCTTGTTTTGAGGATTTTTTGGCTTTAGTTTGGTCTTGTGAAATACCTCTGAACTGAGGTCTGACATTCTGAAGTGACATTCTGATTTGACCATCTCAGTAGACCAATCTCATTAACTAGTGTTATTTTCTAGCAAATATTCTTAGTTGAGAGGTTGACAAACAGTGAATGTTTGTTTTAAAAAATACTCAAAATAGATTCACTGATAATCAAAAATTTATTTTCTGTCAACTAACCAATTAAAGGCGTACCATTTTACACATGAATATCGGTGTAGTAGTCATGGTTACCTCGATTACCCTTACCTTGCAAACTGGGGACATCAAGTTTGAAAGACGTGGGCATAGGGAAGTAAAAATACTATGGAGTTGCATTATGGGAAACATAGGATCCAGTCTCTCTGTCCCATACTGGGGGGTAAAGGTCAGGATATCTCAGCCTCCGCAGCTTAAATGTTCCCCATCTCTCTTACAAGTCTCCCAGCTTCATGGGAGTGTGATACTAAACTGCTGGAGTGTCTCTTTGGTCAACCATGGTCGAGCCATGGTTTTAAATATGCATACATACGCCTTTGAAATGGACAGTCTTTTCATAGATATACAGTTAAAGCCAAACAATTAACATTCCATAACTTCTGCGCGCATTGCAAACCAAAACATTTCCACTAACTCGATAACTTTGCTGACTGTGATAAGTTAGACGAGTTCTGCCACATGTTTCAGTAATGCTTAACTCCCCACACTGTGAATCCCTGTTTCATAGCTGAGCCTGAGGAGAACAACAGTAACACAAAGACAAATAGTTTTTCGGGACACCACTGAGGGATATATCAGCTCACACTGAGCCCTGCTGTCCGTGTTGACACAGCACTGTGAATGTGGAGTCTGTGTGCGGGGAGCCGGGGGCCAACAGAAAGGGCCAAAAACTAAACAAAGAGAGAATTCTGCTCTTGTCACTTCTTCTGCTTCTTCTGCTCTGCAGAGTTCGAGCAGTGGAGACTAACACAGAGACGTACACTGAGACAGCTTTGACAGGTTCTGCTGAATAAGTGCTTGTGGAGAGTGTGACGCAGATTTACGGGATATCAAGTAGAGCTGTGTATTGGCAAGAATCTGACAAAACGATACGTATCACGATACAGGGGTTGTAAGAAAATATCGATTCTCTGCTCAACTGCTGTAAACTGAGGGCTGTGATGTTGGATGTGTGCTCTACTATGACACCTTTGCTTAGATTTAGATCTTTAAAAATCGCAATATATCAAAGCATATTGAATCGTAACCCCATTCTTGCCAATACACAGCCCTAATATTTTCTCACAGCCATAATGTTAGACTCTGCAAACGCACAGTATGCACTTGTGGTTCACTAACAGGCAACCTACTTCTTCCACTGCTCTCCCATTTTTATATCTTCTGCTCTGAAGTGCAGCAATAAATTTGAGAGACTGTTTGCCGACAGCCATCCTGTTTGCTGCAGCCTCTCTCACCACCCTCTACAGGAAATCACCCCTCACTCCGCTACATCAGCAAATTCCTCGACTAATTCCTAATCCGCAAAGCTTTTACACCAAAATCCATTCAAGACGCCCCAAAATAATTCTCACTTGAAACTTTCCAAAGTAATTATTACTTGAGCTTAGAAGGGGACAGTGAATGCGGAGACAAGCTGCACTGACAAACAAGGTCACTATTCCACTGGAAGCTCTAAACCTGTTCACTTTTCTTCTCCATTTCACCTGACAGAGGAGAAGCTGTAATTACAGACCGGAGCGGGTGTACAGTATGTCACAGAGACGACCAATAACAACTAGACACAGAAAGAGGCTTAACCTGTGGAGATGAGACATGACCACAAAGAAATGACTCCACACAAACAAACACACCCACACAATGACATCACACATCTAGAGTGATATCCACACCGTCTGAAAGGACATGTTGTGAGGTGGAAACTTTTCAAGCCAACTTTTCTAAAGCTGGACCAAAACAAAAAACCATGTAGCTTTCTGTTGACTAGGCTGGAGCGCAAAAAATAGGCAAACAGTAGCAGAGTCGATGCGGCATGACGCTGGACTGCAGTCATCTAATTACAACGAGAACAAGTTGTGTCAGAAAATTAAACAGAGAGAAAAATGGGCAATCCCTAGCCAGGAATTGTTGTCTGTGCAACTCTTTCAGATCCTCTGGAGCCAGCTGAAACTCCATTATGAGGATATATGGGATGTCAGTTCTTCAGTCATGCAAGCTAACTGTTTGCGCCACAATATATGCATTCATTTATTTCCACTGCACATTTACTGCCTAAGCTTTTTAGTGACAAAACCTAAATTCATTCCAACGGAGCATAAAAACCTTGGCTTGTTCCTTCATGCTTCATTCTGCACATAAAAACACTTCCCTGGTAGTGTGTCTTTCTGAGTGTGTGTGTATGTGTGTGTGTGTGTGTCTCACCGCTGTGGACAGCCTTGAGGCCAGAGTCATCTCCAGGTTTCCCTTGAGGCCGAGCAGAGCAGGAACCAGGATGAAGATCTCTGTGATGTACTGGAACGCCTCCCAGTGCTGTGGGTGACGAAGGGAAGTAATGTAAACATGACCGACCCTTTAATTACTCCACTGTCACTCAGCCTCATTTGACATTCAAATTCAAATGCTACGCTATCATTTAGATAAGGCAAAGTCTTTATTTGCATATGCACATGTGAACCTGCAGATTTAATCTAACAGCGTCAACACACTGGTTTGTCAGTCTCGTCAGGAACCCCGCCAGTAATTCAATAAAGGCGTCCAACTGTCATATGTAAGCCAGTGGTTCCCAACCTTTTTCCTTTAATGAGCCCTGTCATTGAGTAAACTGAGGACCACTGACTAAGTGACATATTTCATGGATCAATGCAAAACAACAACAGCAGAGAACAGCTGATAAACTGTACAATGAACCCAAATAATGAACACAATAACTGCAGGAAGTTTGTGTAAAAGGAGCGACTTGGATGAATTTTGAGCAGATTATTTCCTATGAATGTTTGTTTCATTTCTCTGGGACAGTGCGTATTAATAAACATTGCTGTAAATATGCCAGAATTAGCCAAAAGGCTGGTTTCCATCCATCCAGCATCAGAGATGAGTTTTCCTATTTTTAGGAACCTTCTATACAATTCTGTCTGCATTATGTACCTGGTATTCATAAAAAAATGTAACAATCATACATATTTGATAGGCTTCTTTTTTTGACAAGTTCAGTGTTTCCTTCTCATTGTTCTTTTAGCTCTTTGGTTGCTTTATCTGTGTACGTTTCTAATGCAGGCTGTTTATCAGAGAGTGAAGGCTCTATGAATATAGCTTGTGTTCAGGTCTTCAGAGTTCCGATCTTGAATAATAATCTAAACTTTCACTTTCTTACAATTTCACTTAGTTTTCTAAATAGAGTTAGATGAAATGCTGAGATAGAGGTCTTCTGTATATTTTTAATATTTTCTTAAAATCAGGAAGGCCTTGCGTCCATGAAGTTTTGGCGACCCCCTAGTGATTTTCTGGCAGGGTTTAGCATACTGGGCAAAAAAACCTAAATTTCCTCCAAAACAAGAAACATTGGTGAATTGAAATTAGCTACTCAAAGCTGAAAATCAGTTTGCTAAAATATTTTTACTTTCTTCCAATCTTAATTCAAGGTCCACTTACTAGATTTTTCTAGAGTTTTCAAATGATAGTGAGGGGACCTGAAGTTAAAGGCACCCTGCAGAGTTTTTGACCACTAGTAGTGCTGTTCAGCGTGTTTGTTAGACCTCAAAGATAAGAACAATGGGGGAAAAAAACTGTCTTTTAGAGCCAGCAGCTTGTGACCACCCGTACATTAAGGAATAATTCTAGTTTACAACTTGAGTAGGTGCACCCTGGTGGACAAGAACTTTAAGATGCTGTCCCTGTAATTACAATGTCCCTGGTTCAGCTTCACAATATTCCACTCATCTAGAGGTGGCAGTAATACTATAATAAGATAATAATAAATAATAAGATACACTGGCTAGCTAGACACAGAGGAAAACTGCTAGCTTGTGAACATGGACGCAAATATTTTTACATTAGTTTTACAAATGTTTTATGAGGAAGTAAATACATTCAACACCTTTGTTAGAAATAGTGATTCACACAATGTGTTTAAATGCCAAATGTCCGCTTTTATTTGTTTACAAGAAAAGTCCACAGGGCGCCTTTAATTGCCAAGATCTCACCAAGGGACTCAACGGCACTAAAGAGAAGTCAGAGCTCAGCAGTCTGATAATCAGACCTGTTAGTCACATTTATTTGGAAGAGAAAAACAAAGGCAAACAGTAACAGTTTACAGACTGTCTTCCTGCTTCAGTCTGAGCTACTGTCAACGTGGTTGTGCACACAATTGTCCTGAGCAATGAGGAATTAATTCAACATCTTAAGTGCACTCACCTTCAGTTTTTACCTCCAAATAAAGTGGTTTATGTCAGTGTCTCTCCAAGTACCACCATTATGGCTGACATTAAAATCCAGCAGTGTACGCCGACCCTGTTCAGCTACAGCTTTATTCCTAATGAGATTATTTATTGTTGACTGTTGTTGAATCCTGAATGGAACCAGGTTCAAGAACCAGAGATGATTTGGTGGAAAAGGGGTTCTCCTGATCCACACTTCTCTTCCTAACAGTTACTGTTTGGAGCCCCGATTGTTTTTGAAACATGCATTTGACCTCTGCTAACTATCTTACCAACTCATTTAGCTTGTAGCTAATCATGGACATAATGCATGTATGTGACTATGTAGCAGGCTGATATTGAAACAGGAATATTACAGGAAATTAAGAACTTATTTAAAAAATCCATTTAAATTTGAATATTTGTTGTATTTTGATAATAGTATATGTTTTTAAATTAATGAAAGAAATGTCATATATTTCAGAGATTCCTCTGTGGTACACATACCATAGATTGAGAACCAGTGGTTTAGATAATCCGCTGGATTAGATAAACATTAGTTAAACTGTTGGCTTGTTTACAACCTGTCTGATTGTCTCTGACTGCTCGTGGTTTTATCCCTTCAGACTTTGTTCTAAGGATGACACCATGTTCCCACATCTCAGTAATAACTTTTCAAAGTACAACGTTATCAGAACTGATAGAAACAATTGCCCCAACTATGAAAATAACACCCAAATGTAACAAACTGGACTGCCACACTGTCTTGAGCTCTCAATTATGCTGGTTGTTTGAACAATAGTTGTATTGTACTGTAGCTCAGCTTACCTGCACAATATCCAGCACCATTCCAGCTGATACAGTTCCAAATCCTGCTAGCAGGAAAGGCAACAAGATCTGTAGCGCCATGGCCAGTGGCGACTCTTTGGGCATGTTCTGCACATCCGATCCCAGCCCTTCCTCCTCATCCTCCTCCTCCTCCGCATCTGCCTCTTCCCCGGAGAGCCTCCTCTCAGCCAGCATGGGCTCAGTTTCAGAGTAGCCTCCGTCTCCACAGTCAGATAAAGTCACAGAGGACCGGGAGGCCCGGTCCAGGAGCCGCCGGCCTTCTATGTGCGTCGTCTCTTGTCTGTAGCCATTCTGGAGCGAGCCGGCCTCTGGTTTAACTCCGAGGTCCACCATGGATAGCCGCTCCTCCTGTAGCTTGGTATACCCAGTGGGTACCATGGTCTGGAACAGAGAGGCAATGCGCCCAGAGGAAACAGGCTTTAGGGAGAGAGAGCTCCACCCGCCACCTGCTCCGCTCATACGCACCGTCAGGCTAGAGCCTAGGGACTCCCCTATAGCTCCTCCCAGGCTCTGGATACTCATGGTGTGGTCTACGGCCGCAGTGTCTCATCTCCTGTCATTTAGTCTGAGAGCTGTGTAAAAAAGATACACAGTACAACTGGTTTACACTGGCTCAGGTGCACCATCCATGTCAGAAATTGGATTCAGGGCCTCATCAGCCTGAAGAAAATACACAAGGAAGGACAACAGAGGAGAGAATAGCTGGGAGAACAGGGAAACACAGCCTGAAGCAATATCCAAGATGATATTACACCGATGGAACAGATGAGTCACTTCTTATGAAACATCCTTACAGTAGCGGCTGCATGTTGAAGACACTGTCATTGTCTTGCTCAAGTCAGTGCTAGACATTTTGTTTGCACCCTCAGCCCACAAGCACACACCATAGTGTCAACATCTCACAGTGCTGATAGCCACAATGCACAGTGGAGATGGAGAGATAAGTATTGTTTTAGTTAGAAGTTGGTGTAAAAGAGGAAGCAAAACAGGAAATATAATGCTACATCATCATTAGTATGTGAACAAACTATTTGAAGTGGAGGGATAGATGTCGTTATCCAGCTGCCATAGGGAATAAGTGAAGGCAGAAAATATGACATTTAGTTTGTCCTAACGCTGATGTTTCAGTCTGGAGTCCATATGTTCTAATGTTCGCCCACCTTTATGTCTGCACTTTAACATTCTTCAGGCCTTTATATCACCTGTCTGTCTCAGTCTCCCTTCAGAGCATTTTATTCTATGGTAGCAATTTCGCCTTCTCACATCACAAGCTCATGTTTACTGCTAACCTTGCTAAACACCGCGAGAATGCTGGCTAGTTGTTGTTTTTATTTATGTTAGCTACCACTGTGCTATGTTAGCTCGCTGTGGAGAAATGAAAACACTAGGACAGACCGTACCCTACTTTTAATGCGTTAACCGGGAGAATAAAGGGGCCAGCGGTAGCTAGGAGACATTTAGAAAATTAGCAAACTACTTATTCTACTCGTCGCAGTATTTTCTTTCTTTTTTCGTATGTTACCTTTCAGCTACGGAGACAGAACAGAGAGAAGAGATGCGAGCCTTCAACCAGCCAGAGAGCCGCGTCAGAGCAAAGGGTGCCACCGAAGCTCGTCTATGTCGGACCGATGAACCACTCAGTTTGAAAAATGGTGGCTGTAATCTGCAGGAGCGTTGAGAAACAACGTTTTAAATACGAGTTGTCTTGATTGATAATTCCTTTGAATTCATTTCAGTGCAACATAGTTAAAATAAACCATACATCAAAAGTTACTGCATGCAAAATGAGTTGATTTTCCCTTAGGTTTGAATCATTCCTGATTGTATTCACTTATTTTCTCAGCGCTAATGCATATAGTAATGTTATCTGAAACATTATTCTGTTACTAAATTAAATTACTTCCAATTTTTCAACAGACAAAAATAAAGAAATGACCTTCAAGATTGTCGTTGAATTGTATTGGGTCAACTCTGACGGGTTTCGGTGCAACAAAATCATATCAGAGTGAGATCTCCTGCTAAACTACAGGCTCTCAGGTCAGAACAAGAAGTGCCACACAGATATTTTGATTGTAGTGCGCAATCGCAGAGTACACCTTGCTTAAGGAGTTGTCCATAAAGCTCATAGGTTTATTACATTTACCGATAGGTTCAGTAAAAGTGATGACTTTTAACGATGCTGTTATTGTCTGGTTGTTTATTAGAGTTCCTATTCGTTGCATATGTGCGGTCGGTGCAGTTTTTACAGCCAACTTCGCAGTCTAATTTCATGAGTTCCTCCCAAACACCAGAGGGCGCTATATAAATCATAGATTAGATATTTAATTTCTTACCTTCCTCCCGGAAGTTGGTCTCACTTGTAACACACATGTTGAAAACATAACGGCATCGCGTCTAACATGGACTTAAACATCACGAAGACGAGTTCACAGGCTTTGCTGTCATGTGGCAACGGAGGAGGTTTGAATCCCTTTATTAGCAGTTAAAGAGTCGGAATAAAAAGCAGAGAAGAAGAATGTTAAAGGGCTGTGTTTATTCTGATCAGATGTTCTTCAAGGAGCTTCTCTGTGTCTGTAGAGCTTTGTTCACAGGGTTTCTACCTGCTGGAGGCGTCCTGTATGAGCTCCTCCATTACAGTGTCCTCTCACATGATCTCCACAGATTGTTCTATCACGTGTTTACCAGCTCTGGGGAGGTTTTTTTTTTTTTACTACTAATATATTCCCAAACTCTAAAAAAAAAGAAATTCTGAAATGATCATTTCTCTTGTCTATCAAAAAATATAAGCATCATTTTATACAGGCGTTGTTATGGCTTGCAACGTTTTACAACCCTTAGATAGACATAGGGCTGGGGAATATGGGTAATATCATCATCATCAGGATATGGATATGTCCTGGTGTCAACATGACAAAATAACACCTGAAATGACTGGAATTAGACAGTTGCAGAGTTCAGGTTACTTTGCATTTAAAGGAAAATGTCACTGATGTCAGGCTCAGGCACAGATTGCGAACAAATACCGATGTGCTCTATACACTCACATTGTGGATGACGAGAGAGACAGACTGAGCTGGGAGAGGCAGAGACACTTATCTCTGTAGATTTCTTTGTTTCCCTGGCACATGAGGGTGAATAACTAACACAGGAAAAAACATGAACAGGTACTGGCCCAGAATGTCCTGGAATCAGTGCATCTCAGTCTCTTCTAGTCCACTGTAGTATGCTCGAAACCTGGTTGGAAGACCTGTCACTTTATTGTGACTTAATGCTGCCGTTCTCAACACTTTGCGTCACATTGTGTATCTTGATTTGATCCTTTTCACTGTATGAATCAGGTATTGTATATTGTAACTCATTGTGAGCTTGTTTGTCGTGCTGCTAGGCCTCAGAGAGAAGCTCCTCCTTAAGCCAAAGGCTGGCAGCTCCCTGCAGACAGAGAGGCTCCCGAGAAGCAGCGGTGAGACCGAACATCCCTTCCTGCATGCTGTCTTGCTATTCAGTTCTTTTATAGGATTTATTTGCAGTGAAGGATGAATCAGAGATGTGATTGTGTGTGTTTTGTTGTGCGTCAGTGTTGGAGCGGCTGCAGAGCTTCCTGCCTCAGATGGCCGAGGCCAACGAGAAGCTGAAGCAGCAGATGGAGGAAGCTCCTGCTGGATGCTTTGACATAGAGAGCGTGGAGGAGGCGGAGAGGGTCATAGAGATGGTGAGTGTCGGCCTCTGTTGGTGAATGTAAGCTTCCCTGCCGCCCTCTGGTGGACTAGAAAACCCCAGACGTACATTTAAAAGGCCCCTTGTAGTTGTTTTTGACTTTATTTGTTGTGTGAATTGATGGAGTCATGTGATCCTCAGGACGTCGCGCTGGTGGAGCTCAGTGGTTCGGACTCCGAGGATGAAGAGGAGACGTCGGACTCTGAGGAGGAATCGGATTCGGGCGAGGAGAGCGAGCTCACAGAGCAGAACCTCAAACTACCTGGAGACAAAGGCAAGAACAAAGCCAACATCCAGGTTGTCGACCAGCAGAAAGAGTAGAAAAGTCGGCCGCACAGACTTTTGGCTGCGTGTTGAGTTTCTTTGTCCCCTCTGAGGTGATGCAGGACAAACTGACCAATTAAAAAAAACCCTCTGCCTCAGGTTTGAAGGGATTTTAGCCTACTTCAGAGACGGTGAAAAGAAAGCTCCTGCGTGGGGGAGATGCAGATCTTACTCATCCCTATGGGAACAGCAGTAAATATTATTTTGTACGTGTGCCTTTGGAGCCCGAACAGATACTGTGATGACCTCATCCAGTCTGGCAATCAGCTGTGACCTTCATTGTGCATGATGTGTCTGGGTGTAACACTGTGGATCACCTTGCTTTTGGTTTTCATGAGCTTGTACACGTTCTTATGGAAGCCGAGACTGGCCATGCTTGCAACTGTTTTTTTTAAGGGTTCATTTATCTCGTTATTTCAAGAAAACAAAAGGCCAATTTGTCTCAGGACTGTCGGGGAGGATTCATAACTGAACTGAAAACAGTTGTTAGCAGAATGTACACCTGAGAGTTCATTTAAGCTGTTCATTTCCTGACAGTGTGATGCAGTGCTGACAAAATGTATCAAGACAAGATTGAGATTTATTAAAGGAGCTCAAAGATTCTCTTCAGGCACTTTTTCCTGGCTGCTGGCTCATTTTGGTCAGTAGGAAGATGAATATGAACTGGCACCGTGGATTGTCCATTATGGGATAAATTAACGTGATCTCGAGATAACGGCATAAAAACCAAAAAAAAAACAATTGCAAACAGGGCCCTTCTGGGCTTCCGTACGTTCTTACATTAGTTTAGACTATAAACTATTTCATGCAGCTCAGTTGTGTTTTTTAAGAGGAAGATGGGGCACCGGAGAATAAAATAAAGCCTCTGTACACATACTGCTACATCCAAATTAGTATTAATTCAGGCTAACATGTTAGCTAGCTTACAATCATTATAACCATGTTAATTCTTTCAAATTACCATGATGTATTACCATGTTCTCTGGTTCCGTTGGTGTGATTGGTCGGATCCAGTTTTCTCTTTTACTCATACTGTTGTAAACTACTGTATATTTGGACTGGGGTTTTTTTTTAAGTGAACTGACTTTGGCACCATTTTGTCACATGTAGGTATTGAAATCATTTTTACGAATATCAAATTAAAATATATGATTACGCTAACAGGTGCTGGCTTCTCATTAACCTACACATTCACATCCTAACATATCTATATATGTAACACATACAGCATAAACAAGTACACCCCCCTCTGAACATCTTGAACAACCTGTGAAGATGACACAATGTATAAAATGTATTGAACATATTCTTAAAGGTCCAGTGTGTAAAATGTAGGTAGCTCTGTTACAGAGGTAGCAAGGTTACAGAATATGCAGAACAGCAGCAGCATACAATTCAGTTCAAATCAAAGTTTATTTTCCATTGTATGACATTACTAGCTGAAGACATTTAGTTCATTGAGGGGCAGCTCTCACCTTTTCCACAATGGTTGAGAAATGCATAAAAACATTTAGCTGGTGTGTCTTTACCGAATACAATATAGTGTTATAACATAGTCTTCCTCTGTCTGACAAAAATATATCAAATAGTCCTTTTTCTCTCTTTTGTTAAAAAATATTTACAAAAATGTCCAATTTAACAAAGAGAGCGAATGTCTACAGTTATTGGGAACAGACAGCTTCAAGGACATGATGTAAACAACAGTTTGTATGCTGGAGATAAAATAAAAATGGCTCAACATAGTCTGACTTGGTAACAATTAAATACTGTTAGTGTTTTTCAACCATGGGTGTATTTGTGTGTTTGAAAAAGCTACTTTCAGATCCCTGTCAAAACCCATCGAATTCGGACCCAGTTCAGAACAGAAATGAAGGTGAACCCTTTATAACAGAAATCTGAAACAAGCCTGAGACATTTAATCAATCACATTAACTATTTATTTTACTATAGTCTGTCAAAGTTACACTGGCATTATGTGGTAGTGCTAAGCTTTGAGCAGTAAGTGCTTTGTTGTAACACTGAAACATGCTCTGACATCTGAGATTTGAGGGCCAGCTGTCTAGTAACCATTATTATATGAGAAACAACTGAACTGAAACATTGCAAAATGGTCGTCATTCGTGGACTTCCTTACCACATAGCTTGTGAATGTGATGCTATGAAGCAGCTGAATCTCAAACAATAGTTGTCATAGTTGTGTTCACAAAATAATTATAATTTAAAAATAAAATATAAAAGTGACTCTGTTTAATGTGTCTGAAAGATGATTTGTATAGTGTACGGAAATAAAAGTCCAGTCTACCTACAAGTAGGAAATCACTCTAAAGTAAGGTTCTTTACCAACTGCATTTGGCTGTCGTAAAGTCAGTCCTCATTAAGACTTTAATCAATAAGAATAAAACTGTCCCTTCTTTCCCTGCAACCAATTTTCATGTAAGCATGAAAGTTAATGTTTGACCTTCAAAATAGTTGTCTGATAAAATATTATAGAGGAAAAAGTCCTGCCCTTTTTTTGCTGCTCACCTCATGTGGTTTAACTTATCCCTTTGCTGAATTGATGTCAAAGTGTACTCCAGTGTGTGTCAGTACACTGTGACATCACTGTAGGGTGTGGGTAAAGGAGCAGGTACACACTTCTGTTTACGCCCAGAACGTGATTATGAAACAGAGTTGGAACTTTCAGACAGAGGGGGCAGAGAAACACTGGTTTTCAGCCTACTCGTCAACTCAAGGTTGACGTTCTTTCTTTTTTCCCCAACTTTTGACCGCATCACACGTCATCTGCCGGGGAAACCTGTGATATGTGGTTGAAAGTTTAAAAAAAAACACTGTTAAGTACGCCTTGAGTTAAGATTATTTTCTCAAACTGATTTTATGTGGATCAAATGCAACTCTTTTCAAAGACTTTTCCACCTGAATCCTGTTTTCCCATCATGCCGATGATTCGTTCTGACCAATTGACCCTTCCTAAGTCCCGCCCCCTTTTTGATCTGTGCTCCAATAAAAGTTGCGCAAGCCAAAGTCAAAACTCTTGTCAACTTTCTCCTTTCCTGTACTTTGTTGCACATAGCCTAGCATAGCGTATCTACTGTAAGTACATATAAGGAGAAACTTGGCCGAGGCTTGCTCCACTGTTATTGGAGCACAGAACAACAAGGGTCAATTGACTTTACTATCGAGTTATATTCTGTTTGCTAACCAGATGCAGCTCTCCAGTTAAGTCCTGTCAGGCAGGGCACTGGCTACTCTAAAACTCAAACATAAGCTTCAACATTCACATTCATGTACACACGAGTTTATCTATAAATCCATAAATCCATAAACGAAGCGTTGTCTAGTTTCTAGTACGATATATAACAGCGCAGAAGCTGCCACAGAGTAAACAAAGAGGTATTGAAGGAATGGTGAAGGCAGCATTACAAATGAATGAGAAAGGCATGACGAAATGATTTTCAAATTTTGAACAGAATTGATTGACATGATTGCTGAATGACGGGTAAACAGGTTTTAGGTTGAAAATGGTGAGTGTGTTTTAACATAAAACACACTTTGATGGAACTGAAACCTTACTAAAAATACAGTCAGACCCTGCTCGGGAGTCCAATTCGGGAGCTGTCTCTTGTCCGTGATGTGAATTTTCACGCAGAAAGCCAAGAAAAGACGGGCACGTTGTCCACACTGAGACGAGCAACAGAGCTCTCCTCTCATTCGTACAGTACACACACTCATACACACACTGTCCAGAAGCAATGCTGAATGACGCTGGACGTCTGACTGAAGCGGACAGACAAGTCCCTTCCTATTCAGATGTGGGTCAGAGTTCGTTAGGAGAACCTCAGTACTCCACAGTCACCGCTTTGGTCTTGAGGTATTCCATGAGAGCGTCTTCTCCTGTGGACGAGACCGAGAACAAAACAGTGTCATTCAATAGTCACTGGTCAAAGCTTTCTGGGAAACTGAGGAAGAAGGTGGCGAGGGACAAAGGTATTTTCTGCCAAAAGACCAATCTATGTCATGTCCTTCGCGTCAACTCCGTGTCTCTACTCACCGAGGTCTTTGCCGAAGCCGGACTGTTTGAAGCCTCCGAAAGGTGAGGCCACGTCGGTCTTATTGTAGGTGTTGATGAATACGGTTCCAGCCTCCAGCCGCTCGCTCACGTACATGGCCTTGTTGATGTCGCGGGTGAACACGCCCGAGGCCAGGCCGTACTCTGTGTCATTGGCTCTGTGCAGCACGCCTTCCACATCACTGCGGCGTGGAGCGAGAGGACAGAGGACACCGGTTGGAGACTTTAATTGCACAACAGCTCTGCGACATCCACAGCTTTACATACTTTTTTTTGACGACTTACCCATTTTTGAATTTGGACACCACCATGACGGGGCCGAAGGACTCCTCTTTGGCGATGAACATGTGGTCCTCCACATCAGTGAACACAGTGGGCTCCATGAAATAACCTGAGGGAAAATTGCCATATTGATGATGATTGATGACTAATGCTAACAATGATGCTAAAGCTTCTACAGACAAGACTATAAATGAGACAAAGTGTGTGCGAAAGTGAGAGTAAATCCACAGAAAATTAATCAATTATCATATTAATAAAAGGCCCTTTTTCAAAATGATGTAAGCTAACCTCTTTTTCAGGCTGAATGGTGGCTAATGTTTAGCACCTTGCAAAGCTATTGTTCAGCATCTCCTTGTATAAAAAAGTCAAGACTCACCAGAATAATAGTCACAAATCCACAATATTTCAGATTCATTTTGGTAACGTTAACAGCTATTTTATTTTTTGTTGCTGACTTAGACCATGTGTGAATCAGACTTTCTGCTTGCTTGCTGGCTTTACTAGCCACAGAACTCGTAACCGAAAGGTAACGTTTGTCCAAAATATTAGCGTGGAGCTTACACACTGGTAAAAATTAGCCTGAAGTGTTGTTCTGACAAACATTTGTGGGGGACACAGAAAAAAACCTAATTAGCCTAGTGTTGTTATAAAAATATATATATATATATATATATTAATAAATCTTATTTTAAAGTTTTTGTTTTATTTTACATAGCTAACCATGCTAATTGTAGAATTTGTGAAGTGCTAGCTCTCCTCTGTTTCATAGCATTAGCATTTGATGCTCATTGACTAAATGATTGTATTAATAGGAAAAAATATATATGAGAGATCTATTGAAGCTTATCAGAGGTCTTATCTTCATCTGCAACTTTACAAAAACTAAAATGTACTTTGTAGACAAAACAATAATGCTTAAAACGCTATAAAATAAAATAAGGCAGATTAAAAGAAAGGACAGGCAAACTCAACAGGTGAAAAGCACTAACATCTAAAATAAAAGCTGCCTGTAATGCTTGTAAAACGTGTGATTTAAAAGATTGTTGATGCAATTCCAAGCCAGACACGCCACATTAAACACTGATAAAACCCACCACTCCTAAACACACACATAAATACAGTCTGGCACCAAGTTTGTGATGTAGTTACTTTTACGACGCTTGTTCCTCCTCCCCTCCTGTATTCTGTGTGTAAATCTGACCTGACTGGACTGAAAATTCAGTCCAAAACCCTTCAGCTACACACATTGTACTGTGCTCAGTGTGCATTCTACCTGGCCTGTCCACCTGTTTGCCTCCGTACACCAGCGTAGCACCCTCCTTTATTCCAACCTCACAGTACTCCAGCAGCTTGTCCAGGTGGGCTTTGTGATTCTGTGGGCCGTGGTCTGTGGAGCGATCCAGTGGGTCTCCAATTTTCATCTTCTTGATCTCTTCCACCTTAGAGGAAAAGGACGGTGAAATAGAAACAAGACTTTTTAGGTTTAATAATGCTGTTTTAGTTTTTTCTGCTAAAATTCATATATTAAACTACATTATGGGGACTGTAGGAGCCAGTGTTTCTGCAGGGACTAAAAGTTAGGTCTGCCTCTGCTGATCCAATTTGGTCGGTTCTTTTTTATCTGTCTCATGAGTCCCCCAACTGTACAGAAGTATCCCTTTAATGTACAATATGTACTACATTCCTCCAGAGGAGGGCAGTGTCAGTGTTTTGGCTCACTCACCACTCGGCTGATGTACTCATCATGAATGGACTCCTCCACAAACAGACGTCCAGCAGCAATGCAGTTCTCACCTTTGTTGAAATACACAGAGCTCATGCCCTGTGGACACATAGACACACATACTGAATTAACAGCACAGACTCTGATTGTGTTAGTTTACTTTAGCATTTAAAGCAGTAAATAGACATTTAATAAATTGTTTATAACACTGTAATGTAGTTGTGAGCAGATATAAAGAGAGTTTTCAGTAAATGTGCAGTATTTTAACAATAACAACAGTTATACTTTATAATCTCATTACAATCTAATGTTGTTTTTCTCTCAATCCGCAGCTCCAAATATCTGCCATGATATTCCGCCTGCAGATATGGTGTAGGGCTGCAACTAGTGATTATCTTCATTATTGGTTAATGTGTGGAATTTGTTTTTGTTTAATCCATTAGTCTATAAAATGCCAGAAAAGAGTGAAAAATGACTCCCAAAATTTTCCCGAAGCCAAGGTTATGTCATCAAATGTGTGGTTTCGTTTGAAAAACCAAAAAGAGCAAATCCTTATATTTGAGAAACTGAAGCACAGAATGTTTGGCACTGTTGTTTAATAAGTAACACATTACTGGAGGTGAATTTAAGGGGGGAATTGAACTGAAAAATGCATTCACTGACAAATTGCATCAGCACTAACACTGTGTAAAAGCAGCCTATTCATCTTCCAGCATGCTCCCACCCTAAGACAATAACCTCCCTCTCTCCAACTGAGTCTCTCACCATGCGAACAGCCTTGTCCATGTCGCAGTCACTGAAGATGATGAGAGGTGACTTCCCTCCCAGCTCCAGAGAAACCTTCTTCAGGTTACTGACTGCACAGCTGCAACAGGAAATCACAGGGAAAAGAGGACGTTAAGTTTCATCTAACAGCTACGTCAACCAATGAGCTATTAGGTTTGTCAGGTCAGACCTCTTCATGATCTGTTTGCCGATAGGTGTGGAGCCAGTGAAGCCCAGCTTGCGGATGTCTGGGTGGTCGGACAAACGCTGTCCCACCATGCCACCTGCGGGAGAGAACAGGTTAGGAAGGTGGATTATGGATCGAGGAAACTAAATGGCAGCCATGTTTGGAGCTTTTCTGTCTATGCCAACCCGTATGTTTATATGTATATATATATATATATATATATATAGACTTAAATGAAGTTTCCCAGAAAGAGAACACAGTGTAAGGTTTAAAAGGTTGGCTGGTGTTACTGTATATTTTCCTATTATCAATAAATCCCATAAAAAACCTAAACCAACAATATGTTAGTCTGTCCTTCAGTACTTTGAAATCTTTTAAAATCAATCACAAATATATAGTTTCATTTGTAAAAAAAAAAGGCTCAGTAATTTGCTCAAACAGCTGCTCACTGTAGTTTTTATCAAATGTTACTCAAAAAGGAGGAAATGGTGCATTTGTTGGGGACTATTTTCAGCAGTGGATTAATCCACATTTGGTGCTCTAGTTAGTATTTGTGGCAGCAGGACGATGTGTGTGAGATTGAGTCATGATAAACTAATCCATAAATCATAACTCATTAATAATGATAGGGTAAACAACTAATAAAACAGGATCAGATTGGGAGGTTAGCAGAATAGCATTAGCAAACTCTTGTTTGTTTATTTTCTCAACATAAATCATATTTATACAACTTTAACTCCCCCTGCAGTGGCTCTAAGCCTCTAAAAATAATTAAAGTTACAAAGACTGAGGAGGGAACATCACTCTTTGAGTGAACTGCTCACCAATTATAGACGAGGGGTTGCAAGTAGACCTACTTTTGTATTAACGAGCAATTGATGTTGGCGTCAAGGACCCCCAAATTGATACACATTAGGCTGTGGACCCGTATTTAACAAAGATATGGTCTTCTGATGAGATTTGGTTATTCTGTAACTGTCTATACTGATTGTCAAATTAAAATATTGCCAATTTTTTTTGGGGACCCCCTAGAACTCCCTTAAGGACCCCTGGAGGTCCCCGAACCCCAGGTTGAAAACCGCTAGCCTAATACAATCAGCCATATTTTGTTTGTGTGATCTCTAATTGATATGTTTCCTTGCCCTTATGACATCAAGAACAGAAATCACAAGCGAGGAAAGGCTTCATTTTTTAGCCTATGTGGATCTTATATTTGTGTTCGTTACCTGAGCCCGGCAAAATGTTTATAACTCCTTTTGGAATGCCAGCTTTCACTGACAGCTCAGCAAACTTCAGCGCCGTCAATGGAGTGACCTGTAAATATTGGAAACGGCGTATCAAATGTGAACTACTCGCTGACACTGGGTCCATTCAGCTAAAGAAACATCTCCACCACAGCTCTTTACGCACTCTGTGTGAATGCCTTTATTCTCAGTGAGAGTGTGTGTATGATGTACTCACCTGTGCGGGTTTAAGAACAAGTGTGTTTCCAGCTGCGAGGCAGGCTGCGCTCTTCCACGCCAACATCATGAGAGGGTAGTTCCATGGAATGACTATGGCACACACACTGCAGCACAAAAAGCACCGTATGAACAGGTGGACATATTTATGGGACGACGTATTAAATATGCATGTGGATGAGTAGCTCAATGACAATAAGAAACATTTAGTAAATCCAGAGCTGTTACCCCAGAGGTTCTCTCTTGGTGAAGGTCAGGTTGCGGTTGGGCCGGGCTTGGTTGATGGGGATTGTCTTGCCCTGCAACAAACAACCGCGTGTGCCTCTGGTGTTATAATCAGTGTGGAACCTTTATGAGACTGTGGTTTGTGTGCCTGAACGTTAGTCTACCTGGATCTTGTCACACCAGCCGGCAAAGTATCTGAAGGTCTGGATGGACATGCCTACGTGCGTCTTCAGGGCCAGCGTGTACACAGCCCCCGAGTCGATGGACTCGATGGTGGCCAGCTCCTCCTGGTGTTCCTCCATCAGGTCTGCAAGCCTGAAGGGAGGAGGTCAGAGGGGACAGAGTGCTTTAAAATGAGACAAAATGCATGTACATGTAATACAATAGTCGTCCAGCTGTTAAAGCATTTTAAAGTAGTAATTACAAGTGACTAGCTAATTAGCTATCCTGTAAACTCATTTTAGTAGTACACATTTTCCTAGAGTATTTTTATTTGGTAAGCAAGCTCCTAATTTTTTTTATCTAAAAAGAGAGCACAGGCCATATAATGTACAGAGCAGACCTGTGTGCTGTAGTGGTTATTTTGTAGTTGTGTTTCTACCCTTGGGGAATCTGGACTGTCTGGACTGAATCTGGAGTGTCTTTCTGATCATGTAATCCTTCTGTCGTCCTCCGGGTGGAGCCACTCACTTGTAAAGCAGACTTCCTCTGTCTCTAGGGTTCATCCTGCCCCAGGGTCCGTTATCATACGCCTCTTTGGCAGCTTCCACCGCTCGGTCCACGTCCCCGACTGAGGCGTAGGACACCTTACAGATCACCTGGTGAAGGATAGAATGGTCACACACGGCCCAATAATTAAGTGCACCTAAAACAAAACCTTGTGCCTGTTTGTGTGTGTGTGTGTGTGTGTGTGTGTGTGTGTGTGTGTGTGTGTGTGTGTGTGTGTGTGTGTGTGTGTGTGTGTGTGGATTTATGTGTTCATGGGACTCACTGATCCATCAGTGGGGTTGATGGTTTGGTAGCTCTTGCCGTTTTCTGCATCCTCAAACTGGCCGTTGATGAAACATTGGTATGGCATTTTCACTGTCATGTTGTTCACGTCTTTGGTTGCCTGGGTACAAAACAGCAGTAACAGTAGTTAAATACATAAGTCAACAAACCACAGACACCTACATTTGTGCATATCTTACAGAATATGATGTGCGATGAAAGATAAAATATCGAACAATTTGCTAGTAAAGAGATAGTGGAGTCATACATAGCAGGTCTGCTCCGTGTACAACTGAGCTCAAACTGCTGTTTGTCTCATCTACAGGAGTGAATTATGGATTTATTCCGACCAAAGCAGAGTTGGTGATTGTTGGATTGGTGACTTTTATTTTGTTTCGGTCCACTTTGAATGAAGCTACTATGTTCCAATGATATGCAAGGTAAAATGATTGTTTTTGTCTATGGAGTCTGGTGGTGAGTGATTGAGCTATTCCAGCTGTTTCTGATTAAACAAAAGGTCTATCTCTGCAGGGATCCTTTCCATAATGCTGTCAGACACAGAATAACAATCTGAGCCTGTCAGTGGAAAAAACAAGCACTGTTAGTGAACTTACTGTGACAGCTGCACTTGTCCCTAAGGATTAATGTTAGCTTATGTTGTGGCCATTGCAGCCCTTTTCAAGAATATGCATCTGTGATTTAAGGGTTTATTTCAACCAAACCAGCATTGGTGATTGTTGGAAAGACAGTGGATTATTTTGTTTCTACCTCATTGTTTTGGTCTGGTATGCAGGTGCTCCAGTGTGACATCCAGTGTATATTTCATACAGACCTCTCACTTTATTTATTTATATATGTATATATATATCTCTTTTTATGTTTGTATACATTGTATACATTGTATGCATAGTATGCATAGTATGCAGTATACATCTATTTCTATTTTTATCCTTTTTTATATTCTCTATGTTTACTGTAATGCACCAGTTTACCAAGGACCATTCCTTGTATGTGAAAAGCTACTTGGCAATAAACCTGATTCTGATTCTGATCCAGATTAGCATGCTGTAAGAGTCAGTTGGGACTCACATAGTCGATGACCAACTCCTCCTCCTGGTCCTCTCCTCTCAGCTTGCGCACGAACATCTGGATGAAGTCCTGGAAGGTGGTAGCCATGTACACGTCCTCAGTCTGCAGCTGGACCCCGGCACACTTCTGCTTCACCTCCTCCACCAGCCTGGAAGAGAGACGGCATCAGTTCTTCCACTCTACTTCTTCTTGTTTATTATGTGCATCACAGCACCTACACAGTGTTTTCTCTGGGACTTTTTTATTTGTCTTTGACGTTGCATTATTCATGTACATAATTCCCTATTCTCATTCTATAGTTTTGGTGTTATTGGATTTATTTTGTTGTGTGCTGGCAGCTCAATCTCAGCTTTACAGCGTCAGTAATTAATGTGTGGTTGTCACTGGCACGCTGGTAAAACTGTGAAAGCTGGGTCTCACTCTTGGATGCAATCAATTCATTTAAAAATCCTTTTATTTCCTTCCAACTGGAGAAATGCTTCTCAGATGAGATTAAGAAAACAAACAAAAATACTGTTCTTGTAAAAGATCTGTTTTGGTTCTGCCCTAATGATTTTTCTGTGTCCATAAACAATAATACTCTCTTTCTGCAGGTTTCATCAGGTTCAATTTAAGACCTAATTGATGAATGTTGTGTAAGAGCTATTTTACATACATACTGGCATACTTTGTTGTGGTTGTTACAACGTGATCAATAAAAAAAACTTAAAAACAAAACTGAAAAAAATCTATTAAAACAGCTGAACAATCAGAGAATATTCTGAATTTGAGATTTCAGATACTTCAGCTCAAAAAGATGCAACCATATTTCTAACTCTGGTCTTTCTGGTGAATCATTTCCGACCAATCATGGCTGCACTGGCCTCCTCCCTCACCTGACCACATCCATAGAGGCGGCTCCAGATTTGAAGAAGTCTGTGGTGTCCTCGATAGCTGGGACGTTGCTGAGGATGCTCTTCCAGATGTTCTGTGATGAAAAAGAACATTCACACTCAGCACAGGGAAATGTTACAGTGAAAGTTTAAAAAAAAATCAACTAGTAGTTTACTTGCCCTGATCTCCGATGCCATCTTCTTCTCATCATCAGTCAGCTCCACGCTGGAGCTCTCCCCAGAGGAGAAGTATTTGGAAGCAGGGATCATCTTCCCATCTTCAAACTGCAGGTTCTTTACCAGCAGCTGTGAAACACCAAACACAGAGCAGATAAAGCAGGGCAGCTGGAACAGGCCAACACACACTGTGTTTGAACAAACCAAGCAGCCACAAAACCTGCTCAATCTGACAGCCAACACAGGCATGAGCATTGCCACACTCGCCCAGCTCTACCTTTGTTTGCTCTGAATATTTGCTTTGTAGTATAACAAACTGAACTCACAGGCTTCCCATCAGTTCCATACAGGACCAGCCCGTTCTTGGTGACTAGGCCAGGCTGCGAAGCGCCCTCCACCTCCAGGGGCTGACCGGCTGGTACTGACCCCCCCAACATGGACGAGCCATACAGGGTCACAGTCTGAGGAAAACACACAGACGAGCATTAAAAACACATATTTTATGAGTCTGTTAAACTTTTAGGTCATATTTTGATCTGGAGTTACAGTTTCAGGAAGATTCCAAATTCAACCAGTTTTTTACTCTTCGTTGTACGGGAACTGTCCTCATATACAACTGAAGTCCTTTAAATGTGCTCTGTTTGCTGGGTAATAAAGCTGCAGTAGATCATTTTAATAAAAATAACTTTTTGTCATATTTTGCTAACTTTCACTATATCCTGACAGTAGTACATGAGATGGATAATCTGTGAAAAAATCTGGTTCCTCTGTCTCCTCCTAGTGCTCCGAATGGCATTTGTAAGAATCCACCGGGCCTGAACATAAACAACCAAACAGAGCCGGGGAAGATAGTTGATTTGTTGAGTCTCAATCCCAGGTCATCAAATACCAATACTTGGGACCTGAGAATGAGACTCAACAATCAACTATCCTCAAGCCACCAACCCAAAACATCAGTATTTGACAACTCAACAATCTTTCTCTAAAGCTTAACATCTTATATATTGTTTGTTTAATCTGGAAAAAAACAACGTGTCATTTTTTTTGTTTTTGTTTTGCACGGCGCTACAGGGCTTTAGCTCTGAAAGACAAAGTTTTCTTATTTTATCTTATGTGGGATTGTACTTGGACTACATGGGCACAGAGAATTCCCAAAGACGGATTTTGGGCTGGGGGATCTAGCCTGGAATAAGGACTCAGACCTGTAGAACAACTGTATCTGTAATGTACTGCTCATATGTTTAGAGACAACTTTTGTAATTGCAACTGTTTTATGTATGGCTGACTAGAAGCTTCTTCCGCTTATTGTCAGTATTGTTGCTCTTTTCTTTTAAACATTGGCCTACATGTCTTTTTTTCCTTTGGAATTGATTGATTGATTTATTTTAGTTTTGCTCAATTCGTTCTCTTGATCTCTCCCTTTCTCTGGTATTCCAAAAAAGTGTAATGAAAATATGAATTTAAAAAAGGGTTGTCAATTAGCTCTTCATCTTAGATTGAAGACTTTTCAAGACCTTCAAATGCCAAGTATATAAGGAAAATAAGCCTAATATTGGTTTAATATTACCACACTGTGAAACTACAACATTCTTAATCGCACATTTTCTTCACAGTCTTCCAGGACTTTAAGGTACTGGATATCTGTCTCATGTCAAAAATATCAGGATCTATATCAGCCACCCAAACCTTTATCAGTCTGACTTTACAATGCACAACCGGTGTGTGTATTTTCGTCTTAGTTCCAGGAAACGCACCTGACCATCAATGACAGTCCAGGCACCGGGGACTTTGTCATGGCCGCGGATCCAGTTGTGGATGGCCTCAGCTGGCTGGGCCAGGTTGATCTGGGGGACAGAGAGACACCGGAGTCAAAAGCTGCTGACGGCTCAGATTCACTTTCAGATCAGGTCACAAACATTTCTGAGAATGAGAGGGACGACCAACAGCTGGTTGCCGCTATCTGAGCGACACGTGGAAAAACTATGCTGGAAACTAACCCTCTGCACCAAGAATAGCATTTAGACACCCTGCCAGCAACGTGGCTCCGAGTGACAAATCAGAAAGCAGCTGTGAGCAGCCCCACCTCTGTTTTTCCTCCCCTCGTGAGATAAACACCAGCCAGACTCAATCTTACATATCTGGCACTGAACATGATGAGCCAACAGTAAATGTCCATGCTGTTCACTGAATGAAGGGGTTGTTGCGTTGTTGAATACAAGCTGTGTCTTCTTCTGTGTAAAAATGTGGCATATTGGGCTTCAGCACAATGATGTCGGAGTGACATAAATAACATGCCATATCAGTGTTTGATGTGAGTTTTTTAAACGTCTCATGTCTGGAATAGTTCCGGTCACCCCACCCACCATCTCCTTGGGTACATATTTAGATTTAGGACACTTTTTCTGTGGGGAGAACCTTGTCCAAACACAGGCTACTGGAATACTACTCTTCTTAACATCCCATTTTACAACACACCCTTCACAAATTCAAAAAATGCATTCAAACCTATACACATAAGCCCTTCCCCCCGCCACCCCCCCCGTCCCCGCGGTTACCACACCAACACCGCGTTGGCTGTGGAAACATTCTGCATATATTGAACACGTGTTTTTAACAGTGGATTTCCTTGAAGTATAAAATCAACTGAAAAACTAATTTTAGGAATAAATGTGACGTGTACAGTGGCATCATGGGCTTCACTGTGCCCCTTTAATCGGTTTTCTCTGTGTGATACATCTGAGTTTTTCTCTAACTCATTCAGTATTTAATGTGTTTGGCAACCAGTGACACACTGTCACCTCTGAGCACGTTACACACACACACAGTCATCACTGAAGAGAAATGATACGTGCAGTACAAGCTGTCATATGTTTTGGCTCTCTTCTGTTTTAACTTACCTGTACGAGGTTTTATGCCTTCCACAGTGCATAACAAACATCCCTGCCAGTTCTCCCATCACAGGTTCACTGAATATGTGTGCGTTTGTGTACATGTGCCTGTCTGACAAGTGTGCCATCTTTAGCGCTGGTTGAATGCCTTAGAGAGGATGTGGTGGTAGCAAGAAAGCTCTCTCATCTTTCTACCTGACTGCCAACACCGGATGCATTTCAGCCATGTTAACGCCTACATAACACATCTGATGGTCATCCAGAATTCATAGAACCATAGTTACATACTTAACCCTTTAACATCCATCCATCAAATCGTATTCAACATTTGCAAGTACATAAAATAACTGCTCAACTTAAAGAGGTACGTGCATATATGTATCACCTTGGCGTTGGATTTCTTCTGAATGCCCTCATAGCTCGCTCCTTCCTCTGACTGGGGAACTCGAGGGGCCTTACCATCAGCGATGAGCTGCACCGACTCCACCTGCACCAGGAAACAGTGTGTGTGTGTGTGAGACACCTCGGTCTGTGGTGTGTCTGTGAAGTTTATGTTAACATGTTGTTGACAATCTCGAAAGATAAAGAAGGCTGAGTGGGAACTGGGCATCATGAGGATATGTTTCAATAGGTCTTCACTACTTGATTGATTACTCTATTTGAAAAAGGTTCTATAAAAATGCATGCTGATACTACACTTCTGATTACACTCCTTATGTAATCAAATCAAAAATATGAAGTCCAGGTGGTTACCATAGCCTTGATGCCCTCTGGGAAGAGGAAGCGGTTGTACAGCGTGTCCACGGTGTCGTTCGGCTCGACAGCACACTCCCTCTGCAGCAGGATCGGTCCGGTGTCCAGTCCATCATCAGCCCAGAACACTGTGAAGCCAGCTTTCTTATCACCGTGGATCAGGGTCCTAGTGACACACACATACACAGAAAAAAACACACTTGGAGCAGTGCCATAACACAGGTATTTTTAGAGCAGATAGAGGATATAACGTGGACCATAAAGCTGAGCAAATGGAGCAGACTCAGATAAAAGAAAGATAAAATGAGATTGCACCTGGAGAGAATGACACTGAAGCAATCAGACTGTTGATAAGACTGTGAAACAAACTGTGTACCATCGCTTCTCATTATCGACATACCAGCTTGACTGGAATCATATCATAGACGGATAATCTGTGAAAAAAATCTGGTTCCTCTGGCTCCTCCTAGTTCTCCTAATGGAATTTACAAAAATCCACCAACAACCAATCAGAGCCAAGGAAGATAGTTGATTGTTTAGCCTCATTCCTAACTTAAATGAACATTAAAACTTTTGTTATGAATTGGCGCTATACAAATAAAATTGAATTGAATTGAACTGAAAGATTTACATTACTCTCATGTCTTTCCGATAAATATGAAGATAGCAACAGAAGCAGATTGGACGATTAGCTTAGCATGAAGACAAGAAGAGGGGAATTTCTCTTTCTTCCACTAAAGCTCACTAGCTTATTAACACGTTTTATCTCATGAAATAATTAAAAAACAGCAAATTAAATGGAGAGTATTTTTTTTACTTTAGATAGAACAGAGCTAGCTGTTTCCTCAATAGTCTATATACCAAGCTAACATTGACATTTACACAGGTAGCAGGGGTTGAAAGCTAAAAGTCAGTGTCTTTGAAGAAACTATAGTACAAGTTGTGTTTTTACAGTTGAAGACAAACGGAAGCCATTCATTTACACACAGTGATAACAGGAACAGAGAGATAGTCAGGGTGGGGAAAAGGCCGACTAGCAAGTGGCATAGATAACAAAACCAGCGTGCTAGGAGGTTGGAGTCAGAACTGGTTTAAACCTCCTGCTACACAGACAGATAGACAGACAGACCCTGTCCCTCTGCTCTGACCTGGAAAACAGAGAGGACTGACGGCCTGTGAACTTAGTTCTTCTGAAGTACAGGACTAAATCCTTTAGCGTAAAACCTAGCTTGTGTAACTTTTGCTCAACGGTTACTGGATAATGTTGGTGAAACGTAGAATATCAGTAGTAAGTAGAGAAGAGTAAAGTCAACACATTTACTCAGAGGCAGTTACAATGAGCCAACTTAGCTAAAGAGATATAACATTAGCCATAACAGGCCATAGTCAGGCTATAACAACAAAAACGCTGAGTGTATTGAACTGAGCAAGGATGCACTGCTTTATTCACTTTTCTGTGTATGGAAAGAATATGTATTCATATAATTCTTTAAAAAGTGTAGTCTCACTTTTTATGCTGTCTAAAAAAACCTGGAATCTTTTATTGCTATCATTTCTCTTAGTCAACAGTTTTTTTTGTGTTTTATTTTATTTCCCTTTTATAATTGTATTCACATTTCAATCTAATATATCCAAGTGTTTATTTTTTGTGAGAGTGGAACTGCACTAACCTGTATGAACCAGTATAGAAGGTGCTATACAAGTTTACTGATGCTAGTACAGTATGACACTGGTAAACCAATATGTGTGATTGATCACAACTGTTTCTATGTGAAAAATGGTGTCTGCTTTATGTTCATATGTGACAAATACACAAACATTGTACGTCATACTCTGGCTTCCTATTACATGTCCTTCTGCATATTTCAGCCATTGGTGGTTACAACTGGCTGTGTTGTGGGAGAATATTCAGAGAAAGGTCTATTAATTGTGTTAAGGAGCTGCAATTACCACGTTCAACGTAAATGAACAAAGCATGTGTTCTGTTTCCCTGACTGACTGCTACAGTTACAGCTGTGTAGTTCCATCTGTTCTGCCTGTTGTCCTTCATTCATTTACAGCTGCACAGTTGTGGCTAAACAAATAAAACCGAGCTTATTTCAGCGTAATATCTTATCTATCACTGTGACAAAAACTGTGGTTTTGTAGGTCGGCCTATGACGTGAACGTCACTGTTGTCTTTTCTTTTTTACAAATGTGAATCCAAGTTGGCAGCGAGCCAAAAGCAAAGTTCCAGCAGTGATATCCGTTAACCCTGTTGTTACCAGTCAGTGCAGGTCCAATCAGACCAGTAACAGTAGCAGAAGTAGCAGAGTGCATCTGTGATACATGTGTGCACGTGTAGAATTCTGTTGTTTTGATAAGCTTATTTCGAAGGTTACGTAACCACTGGCAAGTTTGCATACCGTTGTCAACTATAACTAACCACACAATCAAATAAGCTAAGCTATGAAATTGTTGCTAAGCAGGCTTTCATTTCCTGCAGGCGCTGTGGATGCGGCACAAACCGGCCAAGTTTACAGCTGCTACTGGCAACTTTGAAGGTGGAATGTTTTAAGTTGATGTTGTGAATCAATCAACACAACTTAAATGCCTTCAATCCATTTGTTTTTATTGGCTCCAGACTATGTAGACTGTAAATATTCTATTTCCTCACTTGCAGTGTTAGAGTTCAATATATTGCGATACAGTAAGCGAGGTGATATATTGTGAAAATTGTCACGGTATAAAAAACATGCAACCATATGCATAAAATTCGAGTAAAACAAATGTAAAAAAGTTTACTAGTTTGTAAAAAAATAATGCTATTGAGTTGCATTATGGGAAATGTAGGATCCAGACCAGGATTTTTTCAATTTGACCGAAGATTTTCTTAACATTTTGTCATTATTTCCCATTGTAGACTCAAACAACACACTGTATACTGTACCACTTCATGTTCTGTTCCTGTACACATTTTACTTGAGGTCATATGACCCATGTAAAAAGTGATATCCGGACTGATATTTTTTTTCTTTCTGTCCAGTGAGGATGTTGCATGTGTGTAGCCCAACCTTTCTTTTCAGCTAGAAAGGCATGTGTTGTATTGTCATGTAGTAAATAGAATTTACCCTCTGCTCCCCAAATGTATGATGTCGGAAGATCCAGTCTGACATCACTCTAGTACCAAAGATATTTATATACTCTTTGAAAAAGAGTGTGTGGAATTACCACTCCTCACCAGTTGATGGCAGAGGCTCCTCTGTGCAGCGGCAGGATGGAGGGGTGGTAGATGATGGAGCCGTGCTTGGGCTGGTCGATGATGTTCATGGGGATGAACTGAGAGCAGAAGGGCATGACGTTGAGCTCGGCGCCCACCGCCTTGTAGGCGTCCACCACCTCCGGGATGGGCTTCCCCTTGACCCGCCACCGTGGGAACTTGAACACAGGTGTCCCGTCCTTCTCCGCCGCCACCGCTGAAAGAGAAAAGGAGAACTTACTGATACAGTGTGCTGCAGGGCGGTGACAATCAGACAGTTTATTGGTCTGGCTCTGTTTCATGGTTACAGTTCATTTCAATGTGCAAATCAGCTTGTAGAGATATTGAACTCCAGTCAGAACCAGTTTTACCTGCACACACTCAGACAGAAGGTTAGGCAGACCAAGAAGAAAAGCATGGCCGAGTTTCAAAGTGTGCATGTCTGAGAGAGAAAGCGATTACTAATAATTAGGATAATTGATATCATCAAAATACAATAAAATATAACTGGAAATTTACAATTTACAAATTATAACTATTTACAATATGCTCAGACTTGCACTGATTTATATATAAGCTATTATTATATATTGCAACATCTGATCTCACGTTAGTCTTCTTTAATTGCAGCAATAATTGCAGCCTATAAACAGTTTAAGGATGTCCTCCAGACATGAATTAAGATATGTATACAAATAGTCTGCTTAGAACAAAAATGTGTGTCTGATATGTTTTTTTGATGTGAAATCTCACAGCATCTTTCCCATATCGACACCCCTCCACTTCCTGACGAGCTAAACAAATCTAAACTCAATGACACAGCACAAATATGTTTATGACTAATAATAAGAGAAAATTGTGCAAACAGAGGAAAGGAGTATGGCAGGCGGAGGTCAAGAGTCAGCTGGTAGTCGATGAGGATGATGTTGATGCTTCCTGGAAAGATTGCATCATCACACACATCAGACGTTTCACCTCCGAGCTGCATCTCCGGGCCACACAGGGCCTCTCTGCCAGACAATGGGAGGCAGACAATGGAGCCACTATCCCGCAGCTAACGCAGGATAAAGGCCTGTCTTTGTGCAGGAGCACTGTAGAGTCAACATGCATCTACCTCAGCCACAGCGCAGGCCTCTGATGACCGGAGAAGACCTGGGACATCAGAGGCCGCCGCATCCAAGATGATCTGTCCTGTTGTTTTTGTACAAACCCAGTTCAAAACATCCACTCTGCTGCATCTTTATGTTATTTCTCTTTATCAGAGCCATTTACACACACTAGCTCTATATTTGCAATATAGAGTATTTATTATTGACCTATAACCGACCCAATGAGCTCCTGGTTTTCATTAATTCATATTTAAGGACCTTTATGTCTTGCTTCCAGGCCATACTAAGCTAATGATAGCAATCATACAAGCTTAGTAGGGTATGCCTGTTACAGTAAAATAATTATATATATAAACAGTTTGTAACGCACATGAATTGGATCAGTACTCAAGTTTAAGTATTCACAACATCTCTAAAAAAGATGAATGTGTTACTCTACCATCACTATTTGGACAGAGTTTTGGCAGCTTCTCATTCTGCAGGGTCTGCAAGATGGACTTAAAGAAGTGGCTGTGCATGAGTCCAGACTGCGGTTTGTTCTGCTCTGTTTTCCAAGCATGACGAACTGTTCTGAGATGCCAACATTTATCCCTTTACACTCATAAAACCTGGCATTTTTATGTTGTTTCCTGTAGCTGGTTTGAATTGTGTGTCAAATCCAAAAGCACCACCATTTTCTAAGAGAGAGAACCAAACTGAAGAGGTAAACATTCACAATGATTCATGTGAATCTATAAGCACACAGTAACCCATCAGCAATAAGAGCGCAACGAAGGAGCAGGAAAGACAGGGATTTACACACTATCTGGTAGGTAAACCAATCAGAGAGGAAGATAGAAAAGGGAGGAGAGAAGAGAATGAACTCACCCAGGGGGTCAGCCTTGCCATCCTTGTCAGGGACTGTGAACACGCCCACCACCTTGTGACCCTGCTTCCTCAGGTTGCTGTACACCTCCTGTCCGAACAGGCTCTGGCCGATTATAGCTAGCTTGAGTTTGTTCTGGTAATAATGCTGTAACGAGAGCAAACACACACACACACTGTTAGTTCCATAGATGTTATGCAAAGTGGTAAACCCAATGTAGAGGAGTTCTTAACGGGAACCTGCTGGACCAGGATCCAGAGGGGACTCCAAAACCGTTTTGTAATTTAAGCTTTCTGTTAAACATTTGTTGTGTCCAGGGCCTTGTGGATAAAACCCTGATGACCTCACAATGACATCATCAGGGTTATACAAGAATACAAGGTAATTTAGTCAGTTTACAACTCAGGGTTGTATGATGAAATTTAGCTTTGCAGTTCCCTTACGCTACTGTTTAACTGAAATTTGAATTGTGTTCACTGCAAACAACAAAAGGTTGAGATCCAACTAACTCATTCATTTTCTTCTTATTAGTATTATTATTAGTTTTATTATCAACTAACTGACTGAGCTGTTTTAGCATTAAGTGAAACATTTTATAGTAGTTTTTTCCCATATGACCCATATCCCCACATATGGGAATGACAAATGTATAAAATGTATGAGCGTATAAAAAGCACACACTGAAAAGAGCTGGGGGTGTAAATCAGGGGGGGCCCTTGCTTGCCTTTCCCAGGGCCCCCAATCACCAAGTGCGCCCCTGACCCAGTGGTTAGCCAACCAGCTCTGAGAACAGCTATTGGCTGCCAGAGAGTACAACCCTCATCCAGAGCGAGAGGTCTGTGACTGCAGCAGCACATGTGTGCAGGAAGGAGGTTTCAGGTTTCCCATGCTCACATGAATGCTAGTGCATGAGGCACCCTCTCTGGCTGTCACAGTGCTTTTTGCAACGTGCTTCATGATGCATTCAAAGACATCCATTCCATACAACCCCAGTAAGGTCGCTCCAAACACCCTGGGAAATGACAGTGAATGTGGTTGCAAACCGGCCCCAGTAATGATGAATGAGCAGACTGCCCATATGTAGGTTTCCTCTGGGCTGCCTGCAGCCCTGCAGGATCGGAACTAAGCCGCTGTCGGTCTACAGTGGAGCTCACAGGCTGATGCAACTCCTCCAGATCTTGTACAGTAAAGGCCAGTCCAGTGAGAGCATACAGGCAGGGGGAGGCAGGGGGAGACAGGGGGAGACAGAGGACAGCGGCAGTAACGTGGCAAACTGGCACTCACACTGTCATTCACCATCGTTTGCTCTGTTTGTACGATACAGCAGCTGACTTATGAAGACCTGCACATGAACTATGACTCACTGATCCGCAATCAGATCCGAGCCCGGCTCAGTGCTCTTCATGTCACCACGACCTGGCACGCGTTCAGTATTTACTATTATGATATTTTCCCATCAATGCAACATAAGTATCACAGGCTCTATTCATTGTGTGGTGCAGCAAAAGCAGCGAAGCAACCTTTACTCACGGACGAGGTGGAGAATTTCCTTAAGACTTGACTCGCAGTCCACAACATAATGGCGGTGTTTTGTTTATAAAAAAATGTATTAAAAATAAAAATGAATCCAAATATTTTACAATCTGTCCGACCTGCTGCTGAGGTATGTGCACTGCTGGCCACACACACCTGCCTCTATGTGTGTGAGCGTGAGTCAGAGGAGTGGCCGTGGTATATGCTCACCACAGCCAGCTTATACCCGACAGCAGCACACAGAGGACGTGCTTTGGCAGTGTGCGTGCGCGGTCCCGCGGTGCTTACTACATCCTCGACCGCGCGGTCCCGCGTGGGAATTCATAAAATGTATCAAGCTGCTCACTGACCGTAGTTTTAGTGTAATAACATGTTTAACGCGATGCTACGGTCGAATAGCTAACAAAGCGACTGAATTATGTTTAAACATTCAAATAAAGTTTCACTTAATAATAATTATAAAATATAACGTTAATTTACTGCAGCATATTAAGCAAGGCCACTTAACGTTATATGTTAATAACAAAAAACACACCCCGCCGTAGCTAATGTTACTAGCCATTGTTTGCTAACAGTAGCCAAACAAAGTTGCTAACATGCTAACAGATGACTATAAGCCTAATATGAGTCGAACTAGTGGTTTTAGATATTTTGGTGATTTAGTAGGCCTATCCTTTTTTCTTTTTTAAAACTGAACCATAAATGATGGTATTATTTCAGTACATATTTCAGTGCTGGTTCCCACTCTAACTGGCTGGCCTGTTGGCTATGTTTCTGTTATTTGATGACCAATGCCAAAACCCAAAGGCCATGTTTAACCATTAATCAATCAGGCAAGCACCAAGTTTAACCACAAAGTACGTTTTAATATGCTGGCACTAGATGTCAGCTTTTAAAAAGATACCGTCCCCTCTCTGCACCACAAACAGGTTTCAGGGAAATGAGGGAATTAGAGAAGTTGCTACGTAATGTCACATTTCACTCTGCAACACAGTAGCTAATGGTTGCTAACAGTTGCGGAACAAAGTAGCCTAGTTGCAAACAAATGACAGCGTAGTTATATGAATAGACATTAGCCTGTTATTGGATACAGTTATTGTTATTATTATTATGTCAAAAAGATGAATTATTTCTGTGTACAGCAGTGGTTCCCAACCTTCAGACCCACAGTAGCTTCATCAACACCATCAGTCATGTTCCAAAAGTGTTCATTGATTTTAATGTGTGCAATGTGTATTCATGTAATAATGCACACTGCATGTTTAACCACACAGCACTTTTAATTGCTGGCACTGCTCTATATCGTTCCATGTTGCAGTTCTAAAGCTAGTCTTTAAGAATGTACACGGTGTCCTGCAGCACCAACATTTTTTTCAGTTCAAAGATAAACTTCTAAGTAATTTTATTCCAGTTTCACCTGCAGGCTCCAGCTCTTCGCAGCATTCGCCTGCTGTACACCTGCCTCGACTCCCACCCACAGAACCAGCTCTGCTCAAACACGCAACAAGCACCATCCACACTCAACTGCCCTGCACAGGTTCCTGTGGAGCAAGGTTCACACAGTCAGCTCACAACCTGCAGGGAGGCAGGGCAGGGCAGGCACACACACACACACACACACACACACACACACACACGGACACTCTGCCTCCCTATGTCAGGTTAGAATGTACCCTGTAGACCTGACAACTTCCTGGCAAGTACTGTAGCATTTATTCCACTCATTGGATGTCCTTTTATCCCATAATGTAATAAAACTATTCATAAATCAAATTATACCGCTGCTGTGCTGTTGCAACACTGCTTTGCTGAGGTCACAGGCTGCTCAAACGGAAAATTCTTAACTTTTATAACAGACGCAAGGGATGTGGTCCAAAATGTTCTATACCTTATCAAGGTCAGTCCTGAAGATAGCCTCAACAATCATTATTGTTAATTTTTTTAAACGAATTTTACGCATATGGTGGTGAGTTCTTAATACTGAGTTTTCCTAAAATTAAATTTTAAAAAAATCGCAATATATGGCCTAGCTTACAGTATCGCAATATATTGAACAGTAACCTCTGTATCGCGATACGTATGACCAGATCTTTGCCAATACACAAGATTCGCAGTTAATTTAATTTTTCTAATTGTCTGGGTGTATGTATACAGGTGCCTGTAGGTATTGTAAGTGTAGGATTTTTGTTTAATCAATCAATCAAAATAAACAAATTCCCACTTGATTGTTGAATGTGTATTTGAGAAATCACAAAGGATCCAAAGGGAAACCAGGGGAGCAGCTGTGATTTATTTGTGAATATCTTCAACAACATCAAAAAGAGGACTAACGGTAAGAGCACTGGTGGTGGATGTTGCTCGGGGGGGGAGGGTCCAACCTCTGCTGTCAGCCCCAGAGACCAACCCGCCATTCTTCACGTCAGACATCGGAACAAACTGCTTTGGCACTAGGGTTGATTCCCCTTCGAACACCCCAGTTTTGATTAAAAAGTGCTGTTTTCTGGCTGCCTTTGCAATCATTCAATCACGTAGTACAACTCTTAACGAAACCCGTCAGTTCAGAAGAGTGTGTTGTGGTGTCAAAACAAAATAATTTTAAAAAGTCGTGCTCCTGGACAAGAAGCAGTCCTGGAAGGCAAACAGGGAAACATGCCAAAAAATCTCTAACATTCTGGAGAATAAGTTAACTTTGTGTCACCACAGGAAACACAGTGGGCGAAATCACTAGCGGACGACTTTTCCACAGACAAGGTGCCAGCGCTGGAGATTTCAAACCAAAGACAAAAAAAACTAAAACATAATTCAAGTCTATCGAAGAGAATAAATGCTGATATGATGCTGCAAAGATCTACCATAATATAATACCATTGTATCTTTGCCGTAGCTGTCGTCATGTCTTGTGGTTGCTGCTAAAGAAATCTTATATCTGGTTACTTTCGTCTCTCAGATCGGTAAGAAAGCCTGTTCAGTTTGTACTGTAAAAAGTTTCACTAGTTGTGTTCTCCCAGCACCGACACTTTGTTGTATCAAAGCCTCAACTGGCGCATATCAAAGGAGGGGGTGGGGGGGGGGGGGTCAGGCACAATTCGCCAAGACATATGACCCATGCTAGTGTTACACACTCTAAAACAAGTTACAGGTGACAAAACAACAACACGTTCTCCCTTTTCCGCGTCACAGCCTCTGCTGGAGTACTGAGGACAGTGGAGTGATGAGGTCACAGGAAGCGGATTCCTGCGCCAAACTGGACGCCGTCACATATCCTGTGAGAGGACAGAAGAAATAAGTTAGGGATTTTTTATATATCACTCTGCAATGTGTAGCATTTTGAAGTTTTCACAATGAAAAGGGTACTCTACTGATTGCAATCCACTCCCACAAAACCGTCAGACTCATTATGGACAATTTATAAAAATCTAATTTGATGCAGCAGAAACAGAGAGATCATACTTTTAAATTCCACCTGGCACTACATTTCCTACAATGCCAAGAAGAAGTCGTTTTCCAGGAGCTTTTCTTGACAATACAGGACAGCACTTGCTCACAACCTGTGCTCAGCTGTAGGTAGTCCACGCTTATAGCTATATAATAATAGTAATAATAATAATAATAAATATATATATGTAATATTAGCTTGCTTTTATGGTGCGCCTGGCTGTTCTCACCACAGTCAATTGAGCCAAGCTGCGGTCTCCGGCAAATTGACTAGAGTTTTACTCTAACTGCAACATTAATTTGACCACAGCCCATAAATAGCAAAATCAAGAACAATATGCAGTTTATTTCACAGAAAAATCTTCATTTTCTCACCTATTAACCTATTAAAAAGAGTTGCACATAAAATTCGCATCACTATGGATGTATTTGTCAACGACAACATGAAATGTCAATTTGAAGAAATACAAATGAGGCGTTTGAATGAGGACGATGAATACATGGTCAGGCATCAGAGAGGTAGCAAAAACTGTTTTTGACGTTTTTGACAAGGTGCCAGCGCAAGAGATTTCAAACCAAAGAAAGAGCGCACTCAAATTAAAAACAAAAACATAATTCAAGTCTATCGAAGAGAATAAATGCTGATATGATGCTGCAAAGATCTACCATAATATAATACCATTGTATCTTTGCCGTAGCTGTCGTCATGTCTTGTGGTTGCTGCTAAAGAAATCTTATATCTGGTTACTTTCGTCTCTCAGATCGGTAAGAAAGCCTGTTAAGTTTGTACTTTAAAAAGTTTCACTAGTTGTGTTCTCCCAGCACCGACACTTTGTTGTATCAAAGCCTCAACTGGCGCATATCAAAGGAGGGGGTGTATTTCTGCTGAGTTTGAATGTTTACCTAGCTATCAAACATAGATGTTACCAGTGAAGGTAACAAGCAAGTGCTTTTTGGAAGGAAAAGTCATTCAAAATGTTTGTTAGACCTCAGGGACAGACACACAGTGTATTCTGGTTTGAACAAGACACCTTTAACCCACAAACAAACAAGCTGCAGAAGTTTCACAAGCCGCTCAGTTATTGTCAGACCAGTTCTACACATGCCAGGAACTCATTTCTTTTAACCTGCAGTGTCCTTTTGGATGTATGGGGACAGTATCTGAGCTTCAACCTAATCTGCTTCATCCTACGTGCCCTCGTTTTGTAAAAGTCGTTAAAAAGACAACCTCTGTGAGCCTTAGTGCTAGAATATCTAGTGGTGTAAATGCACAGTGTACCTGTCTCCACTCTGAACTCCCATGGGCACGCAGTAGTTGAGCTCCAGTCTGGCGATGTTCCCGAGTCGCAGCACGATGCCCGCTCCGTACGACCAGCGAATACACTCTGCTAGCTTCTGAAGGTGTGCCCGTGGACCGTCACCTGCACACACACGCAACATTCAAAGACTTTTCATTCGTATTTTGACTACATTTCATTATAATACAGTGGTAATACGTACACAGCTACTTTAAAATAATATTAGGATTGTATTTTGATTGTTTCTATACATTAGTCTAAATCAGTCCTTTACATTACAGACTTTCTAACACAGCAGGTATTTAATGCATCTAGTATCGTCTTCAGTGCACCCACCATAGTTGAGGTTGCAGAGATTGCCTGCATTGAGGAAGAAGTGTGTTCTGAAAAGGTCTCCGAAGCCGCCCTTGCCTGGTCTGAAGGGCAGTGGGGTGTAGAGGTGCAGGCCACCTGCCCAGTAGGCCTCTCCACCCAGATAGTCACCTGGAACACACAAAGAGAGGATTCAACCCTGTATAAATGTCTATACATAATGTACTTCTACTTTTTATAGCTGCAACAAAGGTCTCCAGCTGGAATTGAATCAGGGATGTTGCTTTGGTATTTGTGTTAACCACTACAGTATGTCCCCTGCATGCCCACACTACACACAACACCATTTACACATAGATAATGGATTAACCATAGTACCAATTTGAGAACAGCAGATTGTTACTACCATTCTAAATGAAAGATGGATTTTTATATATTACGGGCAAATATTCAGCACTTTGACTTTTTACAGTGGAAGGTCTTTACCTTCACTCTGTGGTCCGATGCTGTACATCCCAAACCCTCGTACACTGGTGGGGCCTCCTAGGTAGAACCTGGACAAAATACACAGCTATCACTGAACTGTCCACAGAGTGCAGTGTAGGTTCACCACTTGACAACAGTAACAGTAAGGTCATCAATAGCACAAAGGTAGAGCAAAAATACTACTTAAACAAACTGAAACATTTGGGTGACAAATGATAACAAATTTATTTTTACATTTTACATGTAGAGCTTCTTAATAATAACCTTGATTATCATTAATAAGATAATAATAAAATAAGTTTGGTTTTTTAAATGGAGGTTTAGAATGTGAATAAATCTCTTCATAAAAAGAGCTAACATTTGTTCTCTGAGGGAGTTGTATGTTGAGCTCTCCTACAGCAGCCAGTGTGTGACTGTGTGTCAGAGCCAGATGACGGCTGTTGAATAAAGCAGACGTACCTGTCGGCGATGCAGGATGGCTGTCCCCCCAACGGATAAAGCATCCCTCCCCACAGAGAAGCAGACAGGACCTGAAAGGACACAAAATGTTTCCTTTATATACACAAAACCAGTTAAACAGAACAAAACAAAAAACAATGAATGGTTCTCTTCAACTGATTTAGTGTTGCTTTATCGCCCTCTGGTGGCTCTTTAATGCAGTTAAAATTACTAGTGAAGCACTACAAATACAGCCAGCAAAGCATGAAACATTACAGTAAGTGTCACACATTGTCTAAAAACAAAATAAACAACACCAACATCATGGTTGCAGCTTTTGGAAGACAATCCTGTCAAACTGGTATTAGAGACTTATTTCTGTCTTACTGAGTCCCAGAAGAGCCGTCTGTTGAGCTGCAGCTCAAAATCCTCTTTCAAGAAGCTGGCGTCTCCTCCGGTGTACCCAGCCAGTTCCTGCAGGGCAAAACACACACCCCATAAACATCTTTACAAAACTGGAAAAAACTGGAAGAATACAGCTTGTTGGTGCAAGGGACTGATGGTTAAACTATATTGGTTGGTAGAGAAACAACATAAAAACACAATGTCTGACTTTGCTATTGCAAAAGATCTAAAACATTTCTTGCTAGCTGTTCATTAATGCTTCAATGAACTGACCGTTTCTTTGTCTGGTCAGCCTAATAAAACACACATTGAACTTCTAGTACCAAATACAACATTTTAGATGCCATTCAGCCTCCAACAGCAGCTGAAAGTAGTCTGAGAACAGACGGCAGAACCTCAGCTAACTTTCTCCTTTTCTGTGCTTAGATATGCTATGTGCTAATCTATGTTTGAAAGACAACCACAGTTTGAAAATAAAAAGATAAAAGCGACATATCAGGGTGCAAAATTAACTTTCATAGGCTAATGAATGGTCAAAATTGACCAGCCACTAGATTACCATTGGTTTTTTTGGCCGACAGATGTGGTCACATCTAAAGTTAGCTAATGTTAGCAAAACTCGAGCTTACTAGCTAGCTAATTTACTTTGATGTTAGTTAGCTAACATATTGCTAACATTAGCTAACTTAAGATGTGACTATGTATGTGTCACTTTTATCTTTTAACCATCTTCAAATGGTAAATGGACCTGTACTTGTATAGCGCCTTTCTAGTCTTCCGACCACTCAAAGCGCTTTTACACTACGTGCCACATTCACCCTTTCACACACATTCACTCAGTGATGGTAAAGTCCATCGAACAGAAACTAACTCATTCATACACACTCACACACCGATGAACGGCATCGGGAGCAATTTGGGGTTCAGTAGAAAAGTAGAAAGTTGACCGAGGATCGCTCAACTGTTGAGTCAAATTCTATTTCTGTTCCTTTTTTCAGGCATTTTTACAGATAAGACTGTTCTGTATAGTTTTTACACTGTTACTTCTCCTATGCACCCTTGTTCAAGTAAAACTGCGTGTTGCTACAGGAATCTGAAACAGGTTCTGTATTGAAAATAAGTTCCTTTAGTAAATCAGTGACTAAAAGTACTTCTTATAGTGATTTTACAGTGTTAACGTCATTTGCACCTTACTTGTTAGGCAAGGCGTTTATACATACAACACTGACCTGGTTGATGCGGAGTAAGGCACCTCTGTTGGGGAAAATGGCAGAATTCCTTGAATCGACTGACACAGTGTGCTGCAAACAAACAAAACAGAGGAGTTGTAGTGAACTGGTGCAGTGGGCAAAATGGTTTTCTATTTGGAATTATTGGGTGTACTGGGAGGTAGAAAAAGGCTCCATGCTGTACCGAGAGGGCAGACTTGAGTGAGTGTCCGCTCTCCTCTCGCACGGCGAAGGAAGCGCTGCGTGCCAGGCAGCCCAGCTCCCTCCACACACCCTCCCACTTCAACGTGTGGTTGGTCATCCCGAGAGGAAACTGCAGGAGCACAGGAAGTTCAAATGTCAACCCCATCAGTTACACTTTTTTATTGCAGATAATGATAATGAGTCAGTCCTGAATAGTTCAACTGTTGTGTGTGTCCAGAGTCATTCATTCTTTGTCTCTCTTTCTCATGCTTCCTATTTCTCATGTTTTGGCTTTATTAGTATGCAAAAGCAGCAAACAGACATCCTTTCATTTTCATTTCAAGAAGTACAGTGATTTTTTTTTATATTGAATGGCTTTAGATTTTGTACACAAACATATGTAGGAAATGTATCTGTGTTTCAGTCTGTATGTGATTTACTGATCTCTAGCGGACAGTCGCTCACTTTGTACTTAGGTAAAATGTATTTCTCTCTCTCTCACACACACACAGACACACACACAGACACACACACACACACACACACACACACACACACTCTTACATTGACTTCTGCCGACATGCCTCTGTCGGTCTCTTTTAAGGAGCTCCATGGGAACTGGCCGGTGACTTTGTACATGTTGAGGGTGAGGCTGAAACACAAAAACACACAGCTCAACCACTGTGCTTTGGTGGTGCATTCAAGGTAGCACCGGCATCCAAGATTTGAGAGTTTAAAAGCACTTAATTCACTCTGTGTAGTCAGGATGTCTGGGCTTTCTTGAACACACTGACTATTGCAAATATCCCCTGCACTCAGTAGTAATGTACCTGATTTGAATGAAATGGACAAAATTATTGTTTTTTTTGAAGGTCAGATTTGATTCATTTCACTCTGTCTACAAGACAGATGTGGCTGCAGCAGCTGGAGGCAGTAAGACAGGAGGATTTAGGATCTATTTTGCTGACATACTTGCGTTCAAAGTGTCCGGGCTGGGGCTTGAAGAAGGACAGGCCGTATGATGTCTCCTTGGTCCCATAGGAGAACTGAAAGGTGAGTTTCTCAGCTCTGCCCAACATGTTGGGCAACTTCAGACCCAGCACCTGGAGGACAGGACAACCAGTTAGTGCTGTGATCGTTTATGCTTCAATAGCACCATGTGTCCAGATTCCTCTAACAGAATTAACTTAGTATTAACAACTTTTTCATGGCAGATATTTGAACTATCAGAGCAGGGAAAGCAGAGGTGCAACCAATAACGTATTAGTGAGGGCTCCGTGTCCCAGTAAGCAGTACCAGTGAGGCAGCATGTGTAATACCACATCTATAAAAGAGCTAGATCTAAATGGAATGCAGTTATAATTAATGCTACTGGCTACAGCGGTGCTTTCTTGCTGTGACATGTCAAAATGTTGCCTCGGACATAATACATACATAACAAATATCCTGTTATAGCAAGCTAGCTGCAACTGACAACTGTTTTCATTGTAGATTCATTTACAATTATTTTCTTGATTCATTATTTGTCTTGTTGATAAAATGCAACGTAAATAGCTGAAAGGTCTATCTCTGCAGGGATCCTTTCCATAATGTTGGCAGACACTTAGAATAACAAGTGTAAGTGGCAAAAACAACAACTTTTAGTGGACGTATCTTGAGGGGCGCATTTATCCCCAAAGATTAATGCGTGACATGGTAGCAACAGCAGCCGGTTTCACAGCTATTTTCTCATCTAACTTGGTGAATTAAGGGTTTATTTTGACATAACCAGCGTTAGTGATTGTTGGAAAGACAAAGACTATGCTTTTGGTGAGTTTTATTTAGATTTTTACAATTATCCACTAGGTAAAATGACTGATTTTGTCAATGGAGTCAGGTGGGCAGTATCGGCCATTGATTTGGTCTGAGCTGCTGGTGCTCTAGTGCAACATCTAGTGGCAAGTGAATTTCTTATACAGTATGTGTGAGCTCAAGATGGACACTAGTTAGGATTTCCTTCATGTTTGAGAAACCTCAGTGAAAGGATTCATCATCCTATTCACACTCATGCGCCAACCTGAACACATAATGTAGGAAAATGTGACATGAATGATGAACGTTTCTCTCACCATGCTTCCTTCATTGTTGCCGACCATGGTGTTATAGCTTCCTGTCAGCCTCTTTATCTCCGTCACCTCAAAAGTTACATCCAGACCGTTGGGCAGAGCGTCCGTACCTGAGGAGGGACAACCAGAAGAGTTTCTTTCTGCTTATTCATGTTAGCTATGCAAGCAGCCATTGTATCCCAAAGGAAAACACCACGCAGCCACATCTCAAATGAGTTACCATCAGACGTGTCGATAAGAACCTCCACCTCTTTGAAGATTCCCAGGCGGAGCAGCTTCTGTCTGGCAACGTGAGCTTTCTTCATCACCTGGAACCAAGAGAGAAACAGAGCTCTGCATCGACTTCCAAAGCCTGAAACTGATCCATTCAGAATGCCGTCATGCCTTAATGTGCAGTCCAGCCATTAAATACATACGTCAATGAGGTTTTTGGCGTGGAAAACATCAGAGATCTCATAGCCGAGCAGATCCTCTTTAGTTCTTCCAAGACCCTGGATGTTGACATGTTGGACCACGACCTGTAATCAAACGTATTTTACTCGGATTACCTTCACGTTACGGATATACAGATATCCTTGACTGTGATAGCAAGTAAAACTGTCCATTTCTTGCAATTAAATTCTATGCTTTTACAAGTGTGTCATAAATATTTAAGCTATAATGTCTGTGTACCGCTATATTTAGTACCGTGCTTAGAATCCTTCTCCAAAACTGTTTAGAAGAGTTAGGCTTTGTTCTTTTTTAGCAAACAGAAGTGACTGGTTATGCTTTGCTACATCGCACAACTGTGTCCCAAATGTTGTTCTTCAGCTCTTCTGCATAATGAGTAAAGATTCCAGCAGCATAAACATATACAGTCTGACTGCCAATGAAGAGATGTATGGAGAATATTTCCAAGCAAATCATACATTCGTTCAAATGTGTGAAATGTGCAACCTGTAAAAGAGGTTATCTTAAACACAAAATGAGTGCTTTACTTTAAAAACCAGAGGGTGTAAGCCAAAGTGTAAACTGCTATGACCAAACAGTTACTAAAATATATTGTATTTTTTAACTAACGGAGCAGAAGTTCTTTATTTAATCCTACAATTGATATGGGTTGATCAGAAGCTATATTTACACAGTGAACTATATTTACAATTTAAAATAATAAAAGTTGCTTTATTTACAACTACAAATATTAATGCATTTTACTCTGATCATACTCATAAAAAGGATACTATACTGTAAGTACTGGATGTTTGTTTCAGCCGACTACTCCCTCAGCCCCAGTTAAGCCCTATTTACTTACTCATTTTATATGTTTTACACAAGCTACCATGAGAGTGATACTGCTGCTACTCACATCTTTGTTTTCGAGGATCTCCTGCTTGGCCTCATGCTCCATTTCTGGGGGCTCCACCAAGTCATCAGGGTTGACGCCCAAGTCCCGGCCATGCATCGGGAGAGGGTCCAGACTCTGCACCAACGAAAAGGACAATGCTTTAAAATGACACCATCTGAACAGTCTAATGCAAACAGCCCTGTTATAAATCGGGTTTAGTCGTTGATAATGGGTCAGCAGAGGAGCTGAGTCGACCTCTGGGTTCCTTTCCGCTTGTATTGAATTATATTATAAAGAGAGGGAAGGGGAGCTGACAAAATAAGATCAACACTTAATACACTAAAGACAGGCGATACAATGACATAACAAATAAAGTATGTATGGCACCTTTAAAGGGCAGCGGTAAAGTCAGTGGGTGGGGCTTTATGAGAGGACACACGACCAGTGACAGTCACTGCACATGGTGAGGGTTGGCTTCATTCAGTCACTGAAGTGTGTGTATACGATTAATACTGATATTAGGATAGGAGACTATACATTTACTGGAAGGTTTTGGTTATTATAAGATAGTATAAGAGGTAACTGTCTCAACTCTACTCTTTCTCCAAGTATCACAAGAAGGTGAACTCATCCTGAGAATTTCTTACATTGTTTTTGGCTAACAAAAAAAGCTTCTCGTTATATTCTTCTCTGTAAATACAGTTTGAAAGCATCGATGCTCCACCAAAATACCACCACTAGGAGTATAACGCTGTATTTTGTCAAAGATATGCTGATACCTGAATTTGAAAATGCCGCCCAGCCTATATTGGCAGCATTACGGGTTTTAAACTAGCTGAAGGCAACGTTACATGGTTTCACCTCCCGCTGCTGTCCTGTACACACTCAAGTTCGGCCGTCAGTTTTCTTTATTGTTCGACTCTCTGTCACTGTGTGGAACAGTACACAGAGTACTGACTGACAGCGGCAGGGAGGTCATGGTCTAATATCCGCAGAAAGGCAAGCAGTCGGGGGAGAAATTGAGTTTACCTTAGCATGGACAGTCCCCATGGTAGCTATCCGCTCCCAAAAGCCTCTTCAGTCGGGGATAGCTGCTCTGTACGCAGGACAAAACGGATAAATGACTGCGGTTACTTTCTCCAGCACCAATCCCCCTTCAAGGGAGACGCCATGACAGTTGGTGAGGTCCCGTGCTGAGTTCAAGTACTCCTTGTAATGCACGTCGACTTCACCTAGTCTTTAATTTTCCATCTCATTGTTCTTAGTGTAAACGCTCCTACGTAGAATTCATCTAGGAATAGTGAATAATGTATTGAACTCATGTTTATTTTATCTTAAAATCTCAGCTATACAGAGCAGAAACAATGTCGCCAAATGAATAGGCGGTAGCAGGGCCACTACCTCATACTATCAATGGCCACTACGCAGGTGCATTTATGCATCAGTAGTTCACTCGCTACTGTCGTTCTACAGGAATGCTAAAATGTAGCATTACTTGCATCCTGTCGCTCTTGAGGAGAAGCTCCGCTGACATAATGCTGGGGCTAAGAACAAAGCCACAGTTTCACGCAGCTACATTACTGCAATATATGTGTTAAATCTAAATGTTACAATGAGCGCCACCCGGCAGCGAAAAGGAGAGCTAACGTTACTGATTGAGGGAAACTGTCAAAGCTAGCAAATGTCTTGCTCTTAAACGCATCACCCTGTCGTCTCTCTCTGATTGGATAGGAATACCTTGAAGTGGGCGGGGCGGGACCGAAATCACGTTAACGGAGCTTCTCCAGCAGATGGCGGTGTTTGTCTTCTTTTAGCTAACTTCTCTTCCATAACTTCCCCTGAAACGGGACAGAAACTGGCAATATCTGGACAAAACGCTGGTAAGTAGTAGTAGTTTGGACTGTGGACATGTTTGGTTTGCGTCAGCCCTGTCTGTAAGTGTGCTTGATTGCTGTAGCCTCTAACACATTCAAAATGCCATTATAAAGTTGTATGACAAAATAAAGTTGTGGCCCTGTGACTATCAGATATAATGGTGTAACATCTATAAAACCCCTAATACACACCTAATCTGTAATCCTTGAACTTCCAGGGCTCCTTGGTTTGGCTCAGGAAGGATAACAGTGTTATATATTGCTGTTATTTAACTGTAAACTCATTTAGAGAGACTTAAAACAATGAGAATCACCATATTTATTTTGACTGTTTTTTTTATTTGACCCTTGACACAGCCTGCTAGAGACATGTGGCCCCCACCGAGCATGCCTTACACACACATGCCCCCAACCAATCTGAGCCCTAAAGCAAACAGTATTCCTACAATGCAGTACTGCCCAGCACAAGGTTTGTGTGCTTGGGGAAGGGTAAATTGTTGCAAATAAAATTTAAAAATAAATAAAAAAAGCTATGCACAATAGCTACATGTTGACACGCGGCCCCTCTACAAGACACAGGCTTCAAGATCAGGTAAAAATGCAGGAGCCACCTTACCTTACCTTTCAGGTTTAATTGTGTTTACTTTTATTTCCAAATGACCACAAACTAATTGCGACACTAACCAATGTTTGTTGAGGCCCTAAAGGTCTGGGGCCCTGCAGCAGTTGCTTGCAGTGATTCAATTCTTCAACCTTGATGTCAGACCACTAGGTGTCAGTATTTCTTAAACCTTAAAACCTCCTTATAGCCTATCACCATTCAGAAGATTGTGTCAGTGAGTACTGAAGAAGAAGACTGTATTATAGCCTCACTATTGCCTAAGTGGTTCCTGTGGTTTCTGGATCTTTGGGGGCCCCTAGTGGGGCACGGTTAGGCCAACAATAGGGTTAGATTTATTTTTAATGTTATAAATTTAAATAGCGAGAGTACGTATGAGGATCTTAATGGACCAGTGTGTTGGTGTAGTATCTAGAGGTGTAGTTGCAAATTACAAACCCCTCGCCTCACCCTCCCATTGCAGTGTGTAGGATAAACTACAGTGGAAACCTCGTGAAATACACGAAAGGTCCTATCCAGAGGCAGTGTTTGGTTTGCAATTTTGGGTTACTGTAGAAACATGCTGGTTTAACATGGCGGACTCCGCCAGAAGAGGACCCGCTCTCTCTGTAGATACAAACAGCTCGTTCTAAGGTAACAAAAACACAACAGTTCTTATTTTGAGGTGATTCTAAACTAATGAAAACATACCTATGAATATGATATTCTATTTCTGACAATAGATCCTCCTAAATGTTACACACTGAACCTTTAACAGGATCAATTAAGGGCTTGTGACCCTTTAAACTGTGTACAGTTTAACCAAAGTGGGATTTTTCTTCCTCAGTTTAAATTAAAAACATGTAGAATCCTGAAATATGGAACATTTAACAAGAAAACAAAGCAAAAGTTAGAGAAAAGCCCCTTTTAATAATCTGGATTTATTTTTGGACATTTGGTTAGTCCAGACCACCGTTTGGGGACCAGTGCTATAGGCCTAAATCGCATCTGGGGCTCCTTCTAATGGAAATTAAAGTTTTTATCTATGAAATCATTTATTTGTTTTATTTTTATCTGGGGAACCCTGAGTGTCTCCATCATGACTCTGCTGCTCATCGCTCATTAAATACACACAGTCTCTCTCTCTCTCTCTCTCTCTCTCTCTCTCTCTCCCTCCACTGGCGCAAACAAGCCAATCAGAGAGCTCGGATTGCCTCTCCTGCTGTTCCCTCTCTCTCTCTCTCTCTCCCTCTCTCCCTCTCTCCCCCCGCCGCTGCCAGTCCACCAAAAGCGGTCCTCCTCCTCTCCTATCAGAGACACACACACACACACACACACACACACACACACACACACACACACACATACACACACACACAGTCCAAACCCCCAGAAAAGCCCTGCTGAATCCTCACACCGTCTGTCAGCATGGGGAGCGCTTGTTTTTCCCGGGACGTTTGTTTGTTTATCCTCCTCATAAATACTTGCAGGGTGATGGGGAATGTCGGACTGGCAGGTAAGAGCCCCCCTTTCCTCTCTGTCTGTCCGTCTGTCTGTCTTGCTTTATTGTGAAGCATTTAATGCACTTTTTGGTGGCTTCACTTTTACCGGCTTAAAGGGAAAAAAGATGGGGAAAAGACCGGGAATATGCTATTGGTGATTTTTAAATAAATCAAAAAGTAGGCCACTTTAAACTTGCCATTTAGTTACACATGCGCATTGCAAGTTTATATACTGTTATTGCATGGCATTATGGCATTTGTAACCACTGTGGTATTAGAACAGCACCGGATTCATGCAAAAAAAAAACCCTGAACGGCAGTGAAAGTAACATTTACGCACTGCTTTCTCCACGATTGGAGTCGCCATAAATCAGACATTTTTGTAGGCCTGCGCTGAATTTGGTGATTTCGTAAAGCGCGCTTGATTTATTCAAATGTCAAAGTCTTGGTGGAAACTTACTTTTACATCACAGTTTTCCTGAAAGGTGGCCTATTTGTGATGCGCAAACTGATTTCCAGTCAGTTTACCAGCAGCGCTCCAGACTTCACTGGAACTTCTGTTTCCTGCGCGCAAAGGTCAATTTCAATCGGAAACCGCAGCTTGATCTCGGGGTTAAGCACTCATTTGCTTTGATTTGGAGTGAGAGGCATGCCTGTTTGAATATTTCCCCGTGTAGAAACGGTGCAAAATGATTTACGGAAGGTGGTTTTTGAAGCTGAGCCGCTAGAGAGCACCTTGTCTCCGGATTCGGTGGCCTGTCCGGAGCTAGAGGAGGGAGGAGGAGAAGGAGGTGTGTGTGTGTGTGTGTGTGTGTGTGTGTGTGTGTGTGTGTGTATATGTATGTAAATGTGGGTTGAAGAGGTGGGGTGGTAGTGGCAGGAGGGCCGTCAAAGTCCCAGGAGGAGCAGGCAGGCAGGCAGCAGGGGCCCAGTATCGACCAGTGCAGCAGCAGCAGCACATTGTTCAGCCTCCCACTGCTGTGAATGGGTGAGGAGTCAATATTGAGACAGTGAGCCACCATGCAGGCAAGGCTTTGTCAAAAGCAGGAGGTTATGCAGCAGGAGAAGCAGAGGAGCTAAAAAGAGGAGGAAACATTTCACTCAGTGCCCCCTCCTGCAGCATCAAAAATCAGAAGTCTTGAACTTGTTGCTGCTTCTGCTGCCTCTCTCTCTCTCTCTCTCTCTCTCTCTCTCTCTCTCTCTCTCTCTCTCTCTCTCTCTCCCTCCCTCAGGCTCCAATGAAACACTCACTGACTTTTTTTTTTAGCAGAGAAAATATTTATTGTAAATTCCGTTTTATCGTTTATTTATTGCCTTTATACGGCCGAGTCTGGCGCAGGCCCAGGCAGCGAGCAGGGGCTGAACCACAGGCAGCTTCCAGCCAGGTTGCCTAACTTACACACAGGCTATTTATACTCTGATGGAAGCAGAGGACGAGCAGAGGAGCTCTGTTGTGATGCAAAGGCCTGCTCAATGATAGATATGACGAGAGAAGCCAAAACCAAAACATCTCTATGCCTGTCCCCCCCCCCCGTGTGCATGTAATGAGTTGGCCCTCTGCCCTGGGACTCGGCCCAGATGTGACCGGCTCCTCTATCAATAACCGGATCAATTGGGGAGCCGTTAAACCTTCTGTTCTCTGCATGCTCTCTGGGGATGGACCTTGACTTTAGAGTTTATAATTTATCCGAAACGTTTGGGAAGGATGTCCTGGGATTTGATTGATTTTGAAAAAGCTAATTCAGTCAATTTAAAGCTGAATGAGGCAACACTGCGTGCACACTGTTCGCTGTGAGTAGCTCTGACAGAGTTCATTTACTTCTTTTAAGACTGCAGGCAGAAATATGTGTTTAGGCTAGAGGTTGCCAACCTTTAAGCTTATGATCCTTAACTCAGTTTGGATTACACTCCCATAAAGTCCCAAAAACTATGAATAGGCCAAAACTGAACCAGCCGAATCCGAGATACGCAGACTTATAGTCCCAATGAGTCAAGCTCTAAAAAGCCTGGATACTACATTTTAGTGTTCGACCGATATGGGTTTTTCAGTGGCTGATGGCCGATATGTAATGCCGATATCAAAACAAAGGAAAGTAATGTAAAATACTATTCTACAGGAAATTCGGGCACATGTTTACAGCAGGATGCATGAGAGTTATTGTACAGGGCTCGAAACCAACTTTTTCACCACCTTCCCAAGTTTGATTTGCCAGTATAAAATAACCTGGATCTTCTGCATTGTGGGGCCCATATCACAAGTGCAGCAGAGAGCTAACATCTGGTTTAGCCCTCAACTAACTTGCATGGGGATACAATTATTTAATAGTGCGGCTGTTCTAGACGTTGCAAATTTTATCAGACAGAATGAATCAAATAGTGAGATGAGTCATTTTGTGGGGGTTGTGAAGCTCAAAAACATTTATCCACTGTTTTACAGCCCCTTCTTTCACAATGTAAGTCTTTTTGGGCCAGTGTGCATTATGTGACGGTCATTGCTGTAATTACACGGCTTGGCCACTATGTCTCTTCCTGGGGGCTTGCTTTTATTAGACCCTCCCTGCTTGAGTCGGTATGCTTCAGCAAAGTGCTAGTCGGGTGGTTGAACACCTCAGACGACACATCATAACTGTTTAGTTTTACACATAATCCAGCCTTGGTTGCCCCCATCTTCCAGACTCCACACCCCCAGTTTGTAATGCAGACTTTCCTTTCAAATTTGTAGCTTACAAACCCAAGCTGAAATTACCCAAACATTTTCCCCAGACTTCACAAAACTCCTCCAGAAGTTTGTGTGAAGCAGTTTTCAGGCTGAGGTGTACTCCTCATGAAGAATAAACTGACTTTCATGTGTTAAATCGGTGTAGCGGCCTTCTAAAACAATGCAGAGTCAGCTTGGTTCCATGTGTCAGTGGGTTATCACCAGGTCAGAAGTGTATTTTCCTCCACATTTTAAAGGCCTGAAGACAAAAACTATCACAAGGGGGAAAAAACAAGCAAACATGAGAGGAATGTTATATATATATATATAATTACTTTTTAATTTTGTGTAAAATTAAATGTTTTTTTCCTATTCCTATCTTAGTGGTCTTCTTGCAACTTCTCAGATTTATCTAGAGACCCCTTGGGTGGTCCTTGCGCTTTTCCTTAGGAACCACTCGTGTAGGCTCATTATGCCTTAATTAGTGTCTTTGTGTTTCTCAATTGGAAATTGAAACATCCATCATTCTGTCCTAACGTAGGTGTAAAACAAGCTAAATGAAGTAAAAGTAGTACATTTGGAGTGCAGACCTGTTATCTGCTAGTTGGTTGGCACCCACTATTCTGTGACTTGTTATACACACAATTCTTGTAATGTGTCATCAGACACAAACTGTGAACTCTACAGGACACTAAAAGGGACAAAAGGGAACAGATGTAGCACTGATGAGACTAGCTGTCTTTAGTGCTGGCTCACTGCAGATAGGAAACAGCTCCATTGTAGAGATGCACCAATCCAACTTTTTCTTCCCTGTTACCAAGTCTGATACCTCAACTCAGGGTATGTGCAGTTAAGTGCCATTCCAAACCTGTGCTTTCTTTTTCCCTAATAAGAGATATGTGATGTAAACCTCACTGCATAGCGCTCACTGGAATCATTTTTGTGGGCGCTGAAGCTGATCCAGCATATCAGAACTCTAGGACTCGTCGAAACCACTGGTACTCGAGTCTAATAGATTTTTGATGTTTGTGCAGATGCAGACGAGTGCGCGGAGGGTTCAGACGACTGCCACATCGACGCGCTCTGCCAGAACACGCCCAAGTCCTACAACTGCATCTGCAAGCCGGGCTACAAAGGAGATGGCAAGCAGTGCGAGGGTGAGTTGTCTTTCTTCTTCATTGTACTTCATCACTTCTTCCCTTTGAATCAACTTTCTGCCCTCATTAACTAAGTAGCAGTACCTAAAATGGATCCCGACTGTTCCCAGTACAAGTGGGAGCACGTTCAGGAGTGGGTGGGATATAAGCATACAAGTTAACATGAAACAGAAAGCAGAGTGCTATTTGTGCACTGGGGGATGTGATCTTAAAGGGTTAAAAAGGCATTTTTCATTTCACCTTGACTGTAAGGCACGTGTGCTAATAAATGTAGATGCAAAGTTAGTGAGACACACTCTGATGTCAGATGTGAACCATCTTAAACACATCTAGACTGAGTCTGGAAAGATCCGGGTGCAAGAACTGGGCCTCTGATGTAACGGCCGCTTAGACAGCTGTTTCACAACCCCCGCATGCACTCGCCCTCCTTACTCCCCCTCACCACGACCATCACCCTCCCCCCCTCTCCACCCTCACAGGTCCTCCTAATTAACGGGGAGGAAGTGGACTGAGCGAGGGTGTTAGGGTGAGACGGGGGCAGCACCTGGCTGCGCGTTCACACCTCCATTCACTTCTGCCTCAGAGCACACCACAGCTGGAGCTCAGTCGGCTGCACAGATATGCCCCCCCCTTTCTCTTATGCAGAATCCTTGCTCACACACATTTATTTACACACACACACACACACACACACACACACACACACACACTGTAATCCTCTAATCTTTTCCCATGTACCATGCGCTCTACTGCTCATAACAAGACAGATTGCCTTTATAGAATTGATGCTCCAGCACCTTTTTGAATCCTTGATGACATTAAAGGATAACTCTTGGGAGGTTTTTTTTTTTTTGCTTTGGCCATCATTCCCATTAGTTTTGATAATGTTGGATTTACAAATAAATTGTTCTGGAGATCTGGGAACATGGCAACAGGACTTGTCAGTCTGATTTTGCAAGAGACTTGACCAGTCAGACCATCAGACAGGTCATAGTGCAGCTAAACCAGATTATTTAAACCAAGTTCTAATAAACTGAAATTATTTAGGAATTATTCTGGAGATTTTTGATCATAACAAATGGTCTTCATCAGTGAATCACCCTCGAGTCCACCTATTCCCACCAGCACATCCTCAAACCTCTTTGAGAAGTCGCTTTGCATTGAGCGTGTAGAACTGAGGACTTCAACCCCCGTCCCGTCCTCTCCCATTACCTCCGTCTTGGCATCTTTGTTGGCAGCGGTTGAGCTAGTATTAGCTTTGGAAGTAGGCCCTGGTGTTTTCGATGTTGCTGGAGTGCTGAGCTGTTTTCTGTGATTTCCCTACAATGGTATTAAGTCTGTTGACTGGTTGTCCACTGTTCAAGTACATGTGGAGTTTAAGCTATTTGTAGTCTTCTAATAAAATAGCCTGGGAGCCTCACAAGGATGCGTCTCACCAGCACCATGCCGTAATCAGAAGTCCAGTCCCGTAGATGTACATGTTCAAATTTCCAATTTTTCCAAGCACCCTTAAGGAATTCTCATCCTTGTTTTGGACTTATCTGTTTCAATGACGGGTTGTAATTAGATAGTTATTTCCTACATTTTCCAGGATGCATTTAGACAGTCCCCAGAGAACTTAGCCAAACTTGTTCTGTTCCAGCTGTTTTACTGTGAGTGCATAACATTTCTACATTCACCTTTATCGTGAGTATAGAATTAGCTCTCTGACCGACTTTCTGCATTGGGTGAAACTTTCCTTTAATGCAGGAATAACTGACACTTTCCCGGTTTTCTCAGCTGCATGTGCTCAGACTCACATACACACTCACTCACATACACAAAATAAGATAGGGCTATGTTGTGATGGCACCAGCACTATGGGTTTGAATTCCATAGGGTTCATCTGACCTGTAATTGGATGCACTTGGACAAGATTATTTAAAAAATGAACAGTGCAGTATATATTATATATATCAATGTATATTGCAATATATAATTATACATACAGTAAACTTAGGATTAAGGTATCTATAGTAGAGCCTGACAAACTGCCACCAGTGTCACCATTTTATTACAATCTAAGCCAGATTTTTAGATGCTAACAGCTAACTCTGCACTCTGAGCTGAAACCAAAGACAGGGTTAGGGTTAGTCAGCAAGAGCTTAGACCGTTTAAGAATATAGGGACACCCTGGTAGCTCGCATGTTAGAGGTTGCGCCCCTATGCACCTACCCCCCCAAAAAACGTTTTGGTAAATAACTTTAGAAAATTGCGTTAATTTTACAGATATGGACGAAACCAAGTTACAATAATGTAATCACCCATGCTGGTAAATTATCATGAGAATTGTAGTTTTTGTATGCTAACAAATAATTGTTGTTTGTTAAAATCAATAAGGTTTCAACTTCTAATAGCAACCGCTGTAGTGGATGCCAATTTGTCTTTGTATACGGACAGTAAACTTCATTGAGTTACAGAAGCTAGTAGCTCACTATAGATCATTTCCCATTTTTTTCCAAACAACAATGCTCATGATTATTGATTGTGTAATTATACAGCTCTGTTGTCTTTTCTGTTTACCATATAGTGTAGTATGTGACTTATTACACCCACAGTCTGTAGGAGGTGTCCTGAATAACAACAGCTCCTCTGTCCTGTGAGAGGAGACAGCAGAAGGTTTGGGCTTTTCAGGAATATGATCTTCCTCCCATAAAGCTGCTGTCCGAGCAGAGCGGTCCTGCCAGCCACTTTTTATCACTTCACCCAGATCAGCATTTGAATCAGTGTGTATTTCTGTCTATGTCTGAATGTCAGCTGCGTTTTATTACATCACCATTCTACTTCCAGCATACAAATTTATGTGTGCGTGTGTGTGCGTCTGTGTGTGTGTGTGTGTGTGTGTGTGTGTGTGTGTGTGTGTGTCAAAACATGCTTCACAACACTCTCTCCCTTCGCCTTCCAACTGTACGCTGAGATCTATTGAACTCACTCCAGTGATGAGGCAACAGCTAATGACAGGGACGTCAAATGAAGACAGATGGTGGATGGGAGTTGACCCCTGACCCCGGTGATTAGATATGGGCGCTGTAATTGGCCGGCTGTGTTTTCCATCAACAGGCATTACGGGCCACATTGCCAGCCAGCGCCATTAGCAGCTCTGCTATTCCTGGAAGCACCTGGAAGCAGCAGAGTGCCTGTGCTCGCTCCCTCTGTCCCCACGTCTTCTCTGCTTCTTCTTTATTATCAGCATCACTCCCTATCAGCAAAGACTCACTCAACAGAGTAGTAAAACTTGCTGTTGATCATGAGAAATGGGATAAAACTGAGGGTTTGTCATTGACATTTTACTTCCCAATCCTCCTGACTGCATTGGCTCAGAAATTCTATCTGTGCTGTTATCTCTCATTCGTCATCTTATCAGACTTTTGTGTCCAGAGAGCACCTGCTTTCATTCACAGACCTCCAGATGCACCCTTCATACTCAATAACCTTGGATGTAAGGTACTATTTTTATTGTGACACTAGAATGTTCTAATATCTAGGCCTCTTTGTGCCCTGGAAGAAAGACCAGCAGCAATATGTGCAAAATCAACGCTAACAAAACTGGAAAGGTGGAGCTCATTAAAAATAATGAGCTGTGTGGGTTGTCCCTCTACCAGCCTCATAACACAAACCTTATCATAGTTTACAAATGTCAGCTCATCATTCGGATCCATCAGCCTCCAGACAAATTAATCATGGAAAATGTCTCTTATACCACAACTAATTAATATTTTGGCGGAATCTGCCATGTTGAAAAGGTTTCTATAGTAGTGCAGAACGAACACTTGCTCTATTTAGGGCCCTTTATATTTTTTCACGTGTTTAGCCGCCATCATAGTTTCTCCTACACACTTGGAAAGGGAGGGTGAGGCGAGGGGGATGCCATCAGAAACTTAGTTGCTACCTGCCACACACTGCTCCTTTAAGTGGCTTATTTAATCAATTTCATTTTGGTGCGCATACAAAAAACAACTAGCCTAAACAAGCTGCTGGGGATGTTTCTATGTGTATCTAGTTGTATGTACTGTAGCATCGAGCATGGACAGCCCACTGTAGAAACAAATATCCCCTCTGGGCATCTACTCAGCACTGAGTCTTATCAATATAATATCATAGGGACTATTTTAAACAAGCTTAACTCGTTAAAAATAGATGATTGACTCCTTTCCCATTGCCAGTAGATGACTGGGTTTTTTTTCCTGATGTGTTATGTTTGGCGTCACAAACAGAGTTAGTAAAGAGCAGTGTTAATTTTGACAGCAAATTCTGATTTAGTCTTAGTCTTAGTCTAGTTTTAGTAGACCAGATATTAGCAGATTTTAGTCATCTAAATCACAATGTTTTATCTGATAAAATAACCTTAGTGTGTATGCTAACCTTTGCATGTATTTCTGGATGATTCGTCTGTAAATGTCACTTCCAGTTGGTGGTGTTTTTCCCAGCGATTTTTGCTCCACACGGTTTACAGACGGTCTTGTTGTCCTTGTTGTCATATGTGAAGTGTGACCAGATGTCAATTCTTCATTTCCGTCCTAGACCTAGCGCTGACATTTCTGTTGTTCATGAGACATGCCATTGCCCTCGGACCGGGTGCACTGCAAAACGTTAGCTTGTTGCTAACGAGCGAAGTCAACTGAAATCAGCAAAGCTGTGTATCTAAGACTGTGCAACTAAACACAACTAAATATAATGTAAACAACCTAACTGTTGTGAAAACGTCCTCGAAACTGTGCAAAGTTCTGCAAACTCGTCTTTGTTCTCCTCCTGTGTAACTGCTGCTGCGTTTGTTTAGCTGTTGCGCCTGCATTTGCCGCCGCTTTTTAAAATGGCTCTGTTGCTTCTGCATAGATCAACCTAACCTCAAAGATTCACTTTGATTGGATTTCTTCCCAACTTGTCCCACAAGAAGAGTAGTTCTGATTGGATCTCTTCTCCATTCGTCCCTCCCTAACATTTTCGTCTCATTTTTATGTGTC